TTTCTAATCTTAATAAAGACAATTATGTTCTCCAATAGTTTTTTTGTAATTTAGAACCTGCCTAAATTAATGAGGCTTCACCCAGTAGTACTAGAGATTAAATCTTACCCAGGGTCTTCTGTTAATCCGGAGGACTGTACAAAGGATTTATACTTGGCAACATCATTTAATTAACAATGATACAAAATTTTAAGATTTTTATTAGACAATCGGTTATGGTGATACCTTCCCGTAATCTCCAGCACTAAGGAGGCTGAGTCAGCACCATCCGGAGCTACACAGAGTTCAAGAACAGCCTGAGATACATACCAAAGCCCTGTCTCAAGAATGTCCTAATTTTGGGGCGGAGATTTAGCTCAGTGGCATAAACGTCTGCCTTGCAAGCAGGCAGTCGTGAGTTCAATCCCCAGTACCGATAAAAAGGAAAAAGACAAAAAAAAAATAATGTCCTAATTTTAAAAAAATTAATATTTATTTCAGTATTGCAAAGGGTAGCAGAAAAAGCAAACTTATGGGTCCCTCCACCCCAAAGATGAGATCAATTCAAACTGCAGGACTTAGAATGTAACAGTTGACAGAAGTCCACTTCATAAGGGTCTAGAGATATCATTACTCCATTAGTGATAATGGCTATTGATCTAGCCTCCTGGAACAGCTGGCAGGAAAAACAGCATTTCAGATAGTAAGAATTTTAAAATCTATTGATTCCACTGGGCAGATTTGTTTTTATACATAATTATGATAGTCTTCTGCCAACCACACCCCCAATACCCATTTAAGCATGCTTAGCCAGGCTTGGTGGTGCACAGCTGTCATCTGGGTACTCAAGAGGCTGAGACAGGAGAATTGCTGCAAGCGTGAGCTACAAAGTGAGTTCAAGGCCAGCCGGAACTGCATAGTAAAACCCTGCTTCAAAAAAAAGACAAAAAAAAAAAAAGTGCTTAACCCAGCAACTTTAAGGAAATTAGGAGTCCAGAACCTCTTTCCCTCTGAGGCCTACCTATTTAGAATATTAACTTCTTGGGAGGAAATTAATTAAAAGCCAAAGGACAGGACAGTTCCAGGGTCCCAACTTACTATGGAACTATATCCTGAGCCTCCCAGTGAGTACCTGAAACTACCACAGTCACAAACGCTTTACATTTCCCCTATAGGAATGTAAGTGTTACAAAGTTTAATCTGCAAATTAGGTACAGTAAGAGATTAACAGAAAATTATGACAATAAAATATAATAAAGGTTAAGACTTATGAACTGGGCTGGGGATATAGCTTAACAGCACAGTGCTTGCCTGGCAAGTGTGAAATCATGAGTTCAATACTCAATACCAAAAAACAAAACAATCAAACAAAAAAACAACTTATGAATTGCTTATTTCTTGAGTTTTCCATGCAACTATTTTCAAGACCACAGGTAATTGAAACCAGGGAAGCAAAGATGTGGTTAAGTGGGAACCACTGTATTGTCTACTAAGAGGGGAACATTTCTGCATTCATGCACTTTAATGACTTCTCTTCCGTTTCAAAATATTGTACCACACATTATTTCTATCCTGGTCACTGAGGTATGCCATCACTCTGCACAAATCATAATTTGATTTCACGAACTGTAAATAAATTTTAACCTTCACACAATCAGTATTTCACTTTTTTTTTTGGTTGATATTGTCTTACTATGCAGCCCAAAGATAGCCTCAAAACTCCACAGTGATGCTTCTGCCTCTACCTACTGAGTGCTTGGGTTTACATGTATGGGTCACCATACTCAGCAGTACTTCAGCCTTATAAGAGAATTCAAGAAGCTGGCATGGTGGCACACACCTATCTGTAATACCAGCACTCGGGAAGCTGAGGCAGGAGAACTGTTTCAAGTTTGAGGCCAGCCTAGACTACACAGCAAGACCTTACCTCAAAAAAAAAAAAAAAAACCCAAAAAACTAAGAGATCCAGAGTTTTCTTCATTTTCTTGACAAATTCCTTCTTCCTTCAAATAGGTCTTGATTTGTAATTCAGGCTGGTCTTGAACTCACCATGTAGTGTGCCACCATGCCTTGCTTCTGACTGATTTTATTTTACTTATTAATTTTGGTGCTGGGGATTGAACTCAGGTCTCACACATCTTAAGCACACACACACTATCACCACCAAGCTGTATCCCCAGTGCTAATGACTTTCTCACAGGGGAAGTACAGCTGTGTAAGACGTTACCATTCTGCACACCTACTACATGTTCACTTTTTTCAAGTGGTATTATCACTCCACTTTTCAGATGAGGAAAGTGAGTCAGATGTAGGCTTATTTCCTCAAAATCACAGAAAACAGGTTTGAAAAACAAAAGGTCTTTATTTTAGACACTATGATTTCCTCCATACTTTGTCAAGAAGCAGAAACAAAGCAAAAAGACAACCTTCCCAAATCTGAACATAAAGTGTTTTATAATAGGTTTCCTTCCCTAAATTGGCCCAGTCAGGAGGTCATTAATTTTTTAAGGTTTACATTCTGAACTGCCAAGTAAATTACCTGAAAAAACCCCAAATGTACTATTTCTGTGCTATAATTGTATAAAAATTCTATTTTTGTTCTCTCATTGCTCAGTTTTTGAAGGAGATAAACATTTTAAAAAATATGGAAAACTTTTGTAAGAAAACTAGAACTAAAGTGGTGAAAAAAGGCTTTTCTAGATCACTGATTTGCATGTTGAGGGTAAATGAAATTCTAATTTTGGAGACCAAATCCTATCTAGTGAAGATGAAGCACTCAATTCTACCTGGCTCCTCAGTTAATTTCTGCATTACCTTGGACAAATGCCATTGCAAACTCCCTACCAGCCCTTAGGTGCATTGCAGCCACTGTGTCATTGTGTGTGACATCACTGGGTTGCTATGGATCTAGGTGCGAGGTCACTCGGTTTCTCGTGAAACTAGAAATATGGGAAAATTAAGTCTAAATAAAAAACAGGAACCAAATATGCTATCTACAAAAAACCCAATTTGTGTAATTTGCCTATGAAAATGATGTAAAACTATGGCAATATTTCAACACAATTCCCAATTTCAGAACCAAAGCTCTTCCTTAATAAGATAAAAATCTTTAAGGTAATTGGTGGAATTATGAAAGCTTCAGCACTGTTACCTGCTCAGAACTAGTAGTTATTCAAAAATTTAATCTGTATTATTGTTTCAGTTAAAAGACTTTAAAATGGCAAAGTACACTGCATCCACTTCACATAGAAGATGCATTTTAAAACCTTTGTTACATAAGACAGGAAGTTAAATATTAAGATAGTGGGAAACACTAGATTAATGCTTCTAGTTTCATTTTATAATATTCACTACTTTCCCCCCTCCTCTCATTTCAAACTGGTTGCCAAACCATTAGATTAATGTAGTGTTACTGACAAAATGGGAGCAACACAGGCTGGAATCTGCACCCCAGAAAAAATGCGACAACTGGTGATTAGTATTCTCTTTTTATCAGCATGAAGATGCATTTAGCTCAAAAAATAAAGCTTCGGATATATGTAATAAAACAAATTTAAAAAAAAAAATTTTTTTCCCCTTTAAAGTAACTCCTCCCAGCCTCCACCCAGTCTAGGCTCTCTGCAATATGACAAATGCAGAATCTTCTGGAATGACTTGATACTGCCTCCCACCACCGCTTTGTTTGCATTATCCGATCAGACAGAATATATTCTTTTTAACTTTAGGAATTTCAACAGACACGTGCCTGTATTCAGAAAAGAAACAGCATATGTCACAAACGAAATCAGTCGGCTAAATATCACGACCTTTATTTTAAAGGCAATACCTACCCTTTTCAATACAAAAACGCTAAACGAAACGAAATGACAAGTGAAAAACAATCAATGGAAATGCTAGCGAGACAAATGTCCCCCTCCCTCCCTAAAAAACCCTAGAGGATTTGCTTTGGGGAAATGGAGAAGGGGAGCCTTTTGTTAAGAAAAACGTGAGCCAGGTTTCGATTTTGCACCACGGATCCCAGGTTTTCATGAGAGCCTACGTTTTTCTCGGGGAGGTTCCTTAAAAGACCTGCCAGGAGAGGGAGTGGGGAAGAAGATTGGGGGTGGGGGGTGAAAAACCGGGAGACCTGCTGAGTGAATGGGAAAGGCGCCGCCCAGACACCGGAGAGAGAAAGAGGAACCGCATCCATGCGGTCCCCCGCCCCCACGCCTAGGCCAGGAGGAGGGGAAGTGGGGCACAAAGGATGCGCACGGCCCCCGCTCGGCTCCCAAGCAGACCTGAGCGCCTGAGACCCGGCTTCTGAGACCAACCCCGCAAGACCCCGCCCCAGCCAGAGCACAGGGAGGACCTCGGAACAGCGCCGCCAGGCCTCAGGGTCGCGGGGAGAGGCCGCGTCACCGCCAGGGCCCCTGCTATCGGGACCCTCCCCAGTCCCTTCCCTGAGTGACGTGGAGAGGCCACCTGCAGTCCAACAGGCACCGCGCCCCTAGGGCCTTCCGCGCTTAGAACCGTGTCTCGGGAGGGGCCCGGGCGAGGCGGGGGGAAGGGAGGAGACACTCACGTTCTTCATGGCCGCGGCCATGTCGTCGTAGCGCTCCGCCTGCTCGGCCAGTCGGGCTTTCTGCACCAGTTGCTCGCGGTCCACCATCTTCGCGGACTGGGTCGTGCCGGAGGAAGAAGACCTGGATGGCCTGATAGGGCTTAAGGAGAGAGGCTGCGGCGCGGCTGGAAGCCCGTGTGTCGGAGGGACCGACCCACGAAGCAAGCGGCAGAAGCAGAGGAGGCGGCACGAGGTGCGACCGCGGGACCCGGCGCGAAGCGGCTGCGGCTGCTGTGCGTGCAGCCAGCGGACAACCCCCTGCAGCCCCGCCCACGCCGCGTGACGCAATGGCAACGCCTACCGCGCGCCCCGCCCGGACCCTTCCGCGGCTCGCCCTTCTGGCGCGCGGCGAAGTTTGCCGCTATCTTCTGGGCGTCTCCCCAACTCTCCACCGCGCCTCAACGCTTCCCTTCCTTCACTTCATCCCGGTAAAAGCCCCAGCTTTTCCGAACACTACTATTCTTCGCTCCCCTTCCCCTCCCCTGCTCTTTTTTTTCCCTTAGACGCTCGGGTTCCTGGGAGTTGTAGTTCTCCCCGCCAAGAGTGGACGCGTTGAGGAGACCAAAGACAAAGAGACCGGCGAGACTACATCTCCCAGAGGGCGGAGAGCGCAGGGGTGGAGAGAGGGCGGGAGTGGTATTCTAACCCTGCGGCTGCTGGGGACCCCTGGTGGGGATGAAGGCTGCTTCTGTCCAAGTGTGTGCTGATTCACGCCTCTCCACCCTACGCCATTCCCCCCACTCCGCCCCGCCATTCCTTCGGGCAACTGGGAGGCAGCAAGAGGCCTCAATCGTAGGGTAAATTTCTTTCTTTTTTTTTTTTAGCAGACCTGAGGGTTAGGAAAATGGAGCGTGTGGGAGAGGAAGAGAGGACACATCGACTGACTATCCAAACTCTGTGTACAGAGTCTGTCCAGAGGCCCCATCCTCATGGGATATAGCTAAATTAAGAGGTGTCCACCTCATCAAGATTCCAGTTCCCCTCTGCACCTTGAGGTTCTTGAGCTTGACTAGAAATTATCAAAGGACAAATTTCTCTATGATGAATGTGAGCCAGGCGTGGTGGTGCATGCCTGTAATCCCAGTACTTGGGAGGCTAAAGCAAGTAGATCCTTTCAAGGCTCACATCTATAATCCTAGCACTCAGGAGGCTGAGGCAAGGGGATCATTGCGAATTTGAGACCAGCCTGGGCTACAAAGTGAGCTGAAGGCCAGCCTGAACTGCATAGTGAGACCTTGTCTCAAAAAGAATTTTTAAAAAGATGGGGACCTGAAAAGAACATAGAAGGGGTTGGGGATTTAGCTCAGCAGTATAAGCGCCTGCCTTGCAAGTGCGTGGTCGTGAGTTCGATCCCTGGTACCAATTAAAAAAAAAAAAGGTGGGGACCAATAAAATCTAATGTTAAAAAAAAAATACCAGCTGGACATACTGGTTAATTTCCAGGAAAGATGCAACTGTCTGCAGGCTGACTTTGGAGAGCCCCTTCTTCCTTTCTAGAGGAGTATACTAAAGATTCAATTCAGCGACCAAGAGAGCCTCTTTGCAGCCGAACACTGGGGACTGTCTTTGGCGGCTGATTGACCACTTCTCATTGTAGTTATATCCTCTGAGGTCAGGTTGATATATTCTTGCTCCTGTGCTCTGGTCTTTGACATTTTATATAGCTCACTAACCTCTTAGTTTTGATTGCATTATTTACTTCATCTGTTCAGCAATTAAATATCTACTAAACACCTACTGTGGTCTAAGCAATAGGTGACAGCAGTAAACAGAACAAACAAATCATTCTCTCCAGGAAAGAAGACAAAATAAAAAATAAATATCAGGGAATGGGATACAAGTTAGTGATAGAGTTAGTGCTTAGCTCGTTGGAGGTCATGGGTTCAAAACTCAGCAACCCAAAATAGAAGAGTAAATGTGTAAAGACCTTTAAAACCAGTAAGAAGTGGGCCAGGGATTTAGTTTAGTGGCTCAAGCACTTGCTTGGTAAGTGCAAGGTCATGAGTTCAATCCCCAGGATTGGGGGGAAAATTTTTTTTAAATTAACCAGGAAAAAAAAATCTTAAAATTAAGAAAAAAAAAAAACAGTAAAAAGTAAAAAACAAGTAAATAAATCAGGAGTGGGCTATGAAGTATGCATGAGAACCAGAATGAGTTTCTATGAGGGAATGGTACAAGTTCTGTCTTATATGCCAGAGCATATATGTCTTCAAGGAAAATAGAATTGCTAAATGCTGTAAATTTCTTTCTTTTTTTATTTCAACAGGGCATGGTGGCCTATGCCAGTGATTCCAGCATTTGAGAGACTGAGGCAAGAGGATCACCATGTGTTTGAGACCAGCCTGAACTCTGTAGTGGGTTAAAGGCCAGCCTGAACTGCATAGTGAGACCCTGTTTCAAAAAACAATAATTTTTTCATTTCAGGGCAGAGAGGAAGAGGTTCTGAAAAATTGCTCCATAGAGCTTGGTAACATTTCCATTCAGCCCTTAAAGGAATGTAGGAATTGCGAGCTGACAGAGATAGGCAGCAAGACTAGGAGGTAACTTCCTCCCAGCCGTGTTTAGGGTAAGCAGTGTCTCTGGTGATGGGTATTAGGGATGGAGTCAGGGGCCAAACACAAGGGGCACAGAATGGCAGGCTAAGGATTCAGGTGGATCCTGTTTGTTTTTCTGTTTTATTTTGTTCCTGCATTGCCAGGGCTTGATCCCAGGACCTTGCACATGCTAGGCAAGTGCTATACCACTAGCCACACTCCCAGTACAGGAAATAGTTGTTTTTTGGGGGTAGGAGAGGTTGTTCCTTTGTTTGTTTGTTTGTCCCAGCTGGTCTCAGACTTGCAGTGATCCTCCTGTCCGCAGCCTCCTGAGTGCTGGGATTGTAGGTATGCACCACCACCAGGCTAGAAAATAGATTTTTGTTCTGAAACAAACAGAAAACATGTGAGATATTTTAACAGTGGCAAAAACAAACAACCTTTTGGCCTCTTGGCCAAGATCAAGTGTGAAAACAATGGCAAAAATTTATCAGGTCTGCATTTTGTCTTATCGCTGACTGCTCAGTGCTTGTCACAGTACCGGGAACATAGTAAGCACATGGAACACATGGAATAAGTGAATGAATGAATGCACTTTGGGGAGACTGATCTGGCAAGAGTGTAGGAGATGGACAGAGGGGCCAGTCTAGAAATAGTTCTCTTCTCCTCCTCCAACACAGGATCTGGTCTGGCCCCTCTTCGCTTACCACACCACCAGCAAAATGCAATCCTGCTGGTGAATAAACCCTCCTACTTCCTTCTGTCTCTTGCAGGAGCCTTTGCCAAGTCATTCCTCTTTCCTCTTGCTTCCTCCCTGTAGGCCAGACCTGAGCCATGCTGGCCTAGAGCATCCGGAGTCAACCCTAGCTGTCTACAGGTGCATGAAACAAATCAGTGATTCAGGCCCCAGATGCTAAATCTCAGGAACATTTCAAGCCACCTATCTGACCTCTACACCCCATTCCTTCCCCCGTTAGGCTACTGCACTTGGAAAAAAGAAAGGTAAAAAAAGCAGCCCAAGACAAACTTGTTTGGGAAAAGTGAAGCAGATGGCAAGTAAAGGATGCTTTAGAGCTAAAGAGGAATGACATCCGGAGACTCCACATGCAGGCTTCCTTCCATTGGTGCAGGAGATAGCTGACCCTGCCTTCCTTGCCTTTGATTTCTTAAGGCTCTGTGTTTAAAACCGCAGCTGTCCAGCAGCCCCTGTGATTAGAGTGCTGCTTCAGAAGCTGCAATATGACACAGTAAAGGGGCTAATGGCCTGGATTCTCCCTTGACTGCCTAATGGCGTGTCAAGACACCTGGAGCTGGGAGTGAGAGAATTAGCATGCTGGGTTCTGCCTTTCCCTATGCCAACTCCATGTGCAAAACCTGTCTTCCCACTAGATCTCAGTTTCCCCACCTTTAAAATGAGAATTGAAATAAATGAGCACTAAGTGCCCCGCCCAACGGTGATGAGTCATCATGCTAGATTAGCCTTGTTCTGAAATGAAAGCTATTGGCATTCTTTATAGAAATGACCAGAGGGGATCGGTGACTGCAGTCTGGGAGATGATCAAGGCCCAAAGGACAAGAGGCTCAGAGTCACTACTGTTTTTAAGGCAAGAATGCTGAAACCCAGAGGTTCTGTGATCAGCCAAAATAATCACACGTCCAGTGACTAATAGAACTAGACAGACCTTCTTGACTCCTGGGAGCAAAGACACCCTTCTCCATCCCAACTGTGAGGCTCTGCCTTGCTTGGCAACTGCTCAGGAAAAAAGAAGACTTTGCCCATTGGTGGCCAGCCTAGCACAAGGACACCCTCCATCCCCTTCAGTGTTAGAGGATGTGACCTTTTAAATGTATCATCTCTGGCTGAGTTGGCAGAGGAGCAGGCCAGTCAGGGACATCAGCATCTTGCTGTTTCTGTGCAGTTATAAATCACCACAGCCCCATCCCCTGGACTGCTGGCTTCTTCCTGTGGCTGAAAAGCTCCCTGATTAGTGCAGAGCTAGCCACAGCAGCAGCAGCTCTTCTGAAACTGAAATTGACCCACATTGCTCCCCACCCTATCCTCTGGGAATACTTCCTCATCACTGCCCTAGCAGGCTGGCCTTGAGTAGAAGCAGAGAACACCATGGATTCAGAAGCAAGGGATGGTGGGAGAATCTTAGCAACCTGCCTCTCTGCCTGAGGATCTTCGACCAGTGGAGGAGGCCTCTGATGGGAAGTGGACACAAAAGCCAGGCTCTGACTTTGCCATTGAACTTGCTGGGTGACCTTGGCCAAATCACTTTACTTCTCTGGATCTCAGACTATGAATCTATAAAATAAAGAAATGGGATGGTTGCTTTTTAAAATCACTCTAAGTCAGGCATGGTGATTTACATCTGAAGTGCCAGCTACTGGGGGTTACTGGGGCCCCAAATGTGCTATAAACTCTTTCCAGGTCCTTGTTATCCTGATCAAATAATTGAAGAAGACAAATGAAAAACATAGCAAAATTTAGTCAGGCATAGTGGTGCATGCCTGAAATCCCAGCACAATGGAGACTGAGGCAAGATGATTGTTGCAAGTTTGAGACCAGCCTGGGCTACAAAGTCAGCTCAAGACCAGCCTGAACTGCATACTGAAATCCTGTCTCAAAAGAGAGAGAGAAAAAAAAAAAAGTAAGGTTTTACACTTACTAAAGGTAAGAAAAATAGGGAAAAAAGAAGGGAAAGGTATTCTGAAAAGTGCTCTGCAGAGTGATTTTGGGAGAGGAAATACATCCTGCATACACAGCAGGCCACTAAGAAAGCAAGAAGGCAATGGCAATGTCTTTTATGTCCCTCTTCTGATGTCAGATCTATGCTGTTGCATCAAAAACCCCCTTAAGGGGCTGGGGATAAAATAAGCACCTCCCTGGCAAGCACAAGGTCCTGAGTTTGAGTCCCAGTATAAAAGAGACAGACGGACAGACAGACAGACTGCTTGATCTCATCCCACAAGAATTGAAGATAGCATATTTTGACTAGCATCAAGTGCAAGGAGGCTGAGGCAGGAGGATCACTTGACTGCACAAGTCAGTCACCATCTGGGTAACACAGTGAGACCCTATATCAAAAAAACAAAACAAAACAAAAGAAGGGCCTAGGATATAGCTCAGTAGCATAAGCTCCTGCCTGGCACCCCAGTACAAAACAAAACAAGATTGTCCAGTCCTTAGTAACAAGACTTTCATATAGTCCTGCTGTTTTACAATGATCCCATGCCCTTCAGTGCAGCACCACACCCGGCTTAGTTTTCATTTTCTTTGTGTTACACTGAAAAAAGCCAATTTCAAAATTTACCCTAGCCAGGCAAGGTAGCACACAACAGTAATGTCAGTTACTCAAGGAGGCTGAGGCAAGAAATTTGTAAATTCAAAGCAAGGCTGGGCAATTTAGTGAGACCCTGTCACAAAATAAAAAGGATTGGGATGGGAATGTAGTTCAATCCCTGGGCTCAATCCCCAGCACTGGAAAAAATAAATTACTCCAACAGGGAAATTTGTGTTACTATTTTGTAAAAAAAAAAAAAAAAAGGCCCCCTGTCTCAAACAAAGAGACAAACCACACATTCTCAAGAGCAAGGGAGGGATTAGCTCAGTGGCATAAGCGCTTGCCTGGCAAGTGTAAGGTTACCTGGCAAGCATGAGGTTGTGAGTTTGATCCCAGGTAGCAAAAAAAAAAAAAAAAAAATAAGAGGAAGGGAGCCTGCACTAGAATCCTTTCACTAAACCCAACTGCATGAACTTGGGCCAAGTGCTTTACCTAGCTGGGCTTTTAGAAAGAACTCTGTACTCTGCCCTCTGAATTGGACTGGGAATAGGATGGTGGTATTTTTACTGCTTTTATTATTTACTTATTTTGCAGTACTGGGGATCTAAACCTGGGTGGAGTATTATACCACTGAACTACATCCCCAACTCTTTCAGTGGCATAAGCACCTGCCTGACAAGCACAAGGTCCTGAGTTTGATACCTGGTACAAAAAAAAAATATATATATATATATATATATATATATATAATCCCCAACTTTAAAAAAATTATTTTGTTTTTTCTCTTTTTTGAGACAGGTCTACCTAGGTAGCCCAGGACGGCCTCAAACTCACAATGACCCCCCACCATAGCCTCCCAAATGCTTGGATTATACATTTGACATCATCCCTGGCCTGAGAGTGAATGTTTTGATACTCAGAATTCCAACAGAAGGCAAAGTATCTATAAGAGGGCCACGGAGCTGGGGATGGTGGCAGCCTGCTGATCTCATGGAGTTTATTGTTTTTTCTGTTCAAAGAACTCCAAACTGCAGAGCCCACCAATTTCCGCCCAATTCCAGGAAGCAATGTTTTCATCAGCCTGGGCTGTCCAGTAATGGTTTAGAAATCACAGGAGGGAGGATCAATGAACAAGCAGGGTCAGAAGATCCAACACTCAGGGGTGATGCTGAATGGTCACTGGCAGGGTGGGGGTATCTCTTTTTTTTTTTTTTTTGTCTTTTTCCTTTTTATCGGTACCGGGGATCGAACTCAAGACTCCCTGCTTGCAAGGCAGGAGCTTATGCCGCTGAGCTAAATCCCCAGCCCCCAAGGGTGGGGGTATCTCAATCTGTCTGGATGCCCCAGCCCCTCAGAATATGGTGGATCTTATCCCAGGGCCCAGACACGGAGCCACAGTTGCCATTGGTGGCCCTGAGAACCTGCATGTTTTCAAAGTTCTGGGTGTGGAGTCCTTCCCTGGTCTGCCTGGAGGCCTGAGGGACCTCCAAAGGCCCAGCAACTTTTGAAGGAGGCCAGGCTGAGTTGCCTGAAAAGGAAATGAAGCAGCCTTGGGGCCTTCCGGAAGCTGGCTGCAAGGGGTGGAGGAGCTGGTATTTTCTGGCGCTGGCCATTCTGCCGAGTCAGCTCAGCGCTAATGCTCGGGGAGTACAAATCCCACTTGGTCATGAAATAGGAACGCCAGTGCTGACACAGCAGGCAGACAGGAGCCCAGGCTGCACCAGAGGCAGGAGGCAGGCGCAGATGCCCAGTGCCAGCTCCTTGCCCTGGGCTTGCAAACCCAAATCAACAGGGACAAAAGGAACCCACTCAGCCCAGCCCGCAGTGGGTCCTGATGACTCAGGGCCATTGTCTTCTAGGTTACTGGACCAGCCATGTCCCTTCCCTGTCCTCCTGGGCTTTGGAGTTGGTAGACTAGAGGGGGCAGCAGAGGGACCCTTGCTCATCTGGATGACAATCCCATATGCAGCATCCAGTCCTTTCTGTCACCTTCAGCACGATGATTTGCCATTTCCTGAGGTCCCCTTTGTACCATGGGATAGCAATCACATTCCCAAACTCCTGCCCATGATTCTTTAGTCTATCTCCCATTGTTACAGGACAGAGGAAAATCCCTTTTCTTCCCAATGAGGCCAACATATAGAAGCTCTTCCTTTTTTGTACTTCAGAATTGAATTGTTGGATTCAATTCCAAGCACTGCAAAAATAGGCAGCACTGTGGCACATGCCTGTATTTGTAACACTGAGGCAGGAGGATCCCAAGTTTGAGCCCAGATAGGGTAATTTATTGAGAGCGTGTCTCAAAATAAATTTAAACCGGGCATGATGGTGCATGCCTGTAATCCCAGTACTTGGGAGGCTGAGGCAGGAGGATTGCTGCAAGTTCAAGATAGCCTGGGCTACAAAGTGAGCCCAAGTCTAGCCAGAACTGCATAGCAAGACCCTGTCTCAAAAGACCAAAAAAAAAAAAAAGGTTAGAGATATAGCTTAGTGTAAAGGCCCTGGGTTCATCCCTGTTACCAGTAAATAAATAAATAGTTTATTTGGCTTCTGATTGTAGAGGCTGGGACATTCAAGGACATGGCAAGATAACATGGCAGGAGGCATCGTGCAGGGGACAGAACATATATACTAGCTCAAGTCTCTATTCTTTTTTTTTTTTTTTTTGACTTTTTTTTTTGTTTGTATCGGTACCAGGGATCGAACTCACAACTGCCTGCTTGCAAGGCAGGCGCTTATGCCACTGAGCTAAATCTTATAAAGTCATTTATCCCATTAAGAGGAGCTCGATTTAGGACCGGGGATATAGCTTAGCAGCACAAGTGCCTCATGCAAAGTGAGAGATCCTGAGTTCAATTCCTGGTAACAAAAAAAAAAAGAGGATCCTACTTTCATGACATCATCTGATCCTAGGTAGCTCCCAGAGGTTTTACCACCAAGTACCATCAACATATAAATTGGGGGATTAACTTTCTAATGCTTGAACACTGGGAGACACATTCAAACCAAAGCAGGGAGCCACAGTCCAGGGGAGGAGTCTGAGACAGGAGGAAGTCAACTTGTCTAGGTCCCACAGCCCGGAAGTGGGGTCACAAGCCAGGTTCTCACATCCCCCACTCCTCATCCCACCTAGAAACACTACCTCGATGGCCGATGGCCAGTGGGTAGTCTCTTTGGTTTGTTTGGCTTTTTTAGAATCAGTGACAGCAGGCCTGACTCCCTACACACTGTGTTTGTTTGTGGTACTGGGAATTAAACACTGTCCCTTCACACTCCGCTACATCCCTAGCTCTTTTTTTGTTTGTGTTTTTGTTTTCTGCAGTACTGAGGATTGAACTCAGGGCTTTGTGCATTCTAGGCAAACACTCTACCACTAAGCCACATCCCCAGCTCTGCCAGCCATTTATTATTATTATTATTATTATTATTATTATTATTATTTTGAGACAGGATTTCTCTAAATCACTAAATTGCCCAAGCAAGGCTGGAATTTGAAATTATCCTGCCTCATCTTCCCAAAGTGCTAGAATTACAGCCCTTGCGCCAATACACCTTGCCGTTGGTTGGGTGTTCCTAACCCTCTCTATGGGAGGATGCAGAGGAGGGTAGATGGGGTGGGAGGAGACAGGGAAGTGAGAGACCAGCTCACTCATGAGATGAAGGAGCATGGCCTTGGGGGTGGGGGTGGGGGTGGTGGCGGTGGGGCAGTGAGTCAGAGCCCAGGTGTCCTGAGAAGCTGGAAAGAGCAGTTTGCAAGTCTTGCTCAGGGCTGCAGGCATCATGCTGGATTCAGGAGAGGGGACAGCCGGGCACTGGAGACCCAGCTCTTCCAATGGCTTCCTGAATAACCTTAACCAAATGACTTCTCCAAATCCCTGTTCCTCCTCTGCAAAATGAAGAGCTTATGATTCAGTGGCTCCAAGCCAGCTTCTTGGGCTCCTACTAAAACCTTTACATGTTCTTGCTTTCCCAAAATCCTCTGAACTCCAGCAGGAGTCAGCTGTGCAGGACAGAAACACTCAGGGGCATCCAGGGCCTTCCTGGCTATAGTGATATCATAGAGATTTCCTGGGTTTTGAGGGTGGGGAGGAGAAGGTAAATATAAAGGTCCCCAGAGCTACCAAGGGTGGGAGCCTGACACTAGTCCTTCAAATTCTTCAACCAGGAGGGAATTTCAGCAAAGGAGAGATGGGAATCATGTTTGCAATAGTCTCTCTGGCTAAGGTGTGATGGCGTACACTTGCAATACCAGAGCTGTGAGAAGCTGAAGCAGGAGGATCACAAGTTCAAGCCTAGCCTGTACAACACAGAATCTTAGTGAGATGTTATCTGAAAACTGAAAAAAAAAAAAAAAAAAAGCGGGGGGGAGTAGGGAATGTAGCTCATAGCAAATATCCCTGGGTTCAAGACTCGCAGGTAAGCCAGGCATGGTGGCTCAAGCCTGTAATCCCAGCACTCAGGAGGCTGAAGTAGGAGTATTGTTTCGAGTTTAAGAGCAGCCTGGGCTATGAAGTGAGCTCAAGGCCAGCCTGAACTTCATAAGGAGACCCTGTCTCAAAAAGACAAAAAAAAAAAAAAAAAGACTCCCAATTAAGAAAAAAGGAAAGAGCTGGGTGTGGTGGTGCATGGCTATAATCCCAACATTCTGAAGGCTGAGGCAGGAGGATTGTCACAAATTTGAAACCAACCTGTGCTACAAAGTGAGCTTTAGGCCAGCCTGAACTGCATAGCAAAACCATGTCTCAGAAAAAAAAAAAAAAAAGAAAAGAAAGAGAAATGAATAAAAGGAAAAGAAAAGAGCCAGGCACAGTGGCACATGCCTATAATCCCAGTACTCAAGAAGCTGAAGGATTGTCATGAGTTCAAGGGCAGCCTGGGCTACATGGCAAAACTGTCTCAAAAGGAAAAAAAAAAGCTCCATCTCCTTATGGCAGCAGGATGGAGGGCAGACTGGATAGGGAAGAGCCAGAGAAAGGAACCCACTAGGGAGGCTCCTTCATGCTCCCTGGGGGACGTGGTAGGGTTTCGACAGGGAACCAGTGGTGGTCCTGAGATGTAGTTGATGTCCAGCCTGACCCCTAGGAAAATAGGTGTGTGGGCTGGCTCACCTTCTCCGAGAAGGGGCAAGTTTAAGAGCCCCAGTGGGGTATGTGTGAAAGGGTGTCCAGGTGCAGCATCCAGGGTGGGGTTGCAGAGAGATTTGAGTTTTCAGTAAAAGGTGGCACTTTGGGCCCCAGAAGATTAAATAAGAACAGAACAGAAATGGGGACAGACCAGTGAATTTAGTCACAAGGAGCCCTATAGGAGGCCCCAGGAGGACCAAAGATTCATGTGTCCCAGGGACCACAAAAGGACATGGCCCCTAGTACTCCATTTTGGCATCAAATGGACCCAGAGAAGTCATAGGACAGAAAAGGACAGAAAAGAAGGCCTTTTCATGACTCCGGGCATCTTTGTGACCTTGATAAGTACAAGTTTGGTGGGCCCATCTATCATGGTCCAAGGCAGCAGAGGGAGAGAGTGAAGATTTAAGATTTGCAGATAACTGCTTTCCACTGAGCTTTAACAGTCAGATGGAGGGAGGAGCTACTGCTGCTGGTGATTTCCTTAGGCTGGAAGAGGCCTGGGAGGCTTTCAGTGCCAAGCCTGGAGAGAATGGGTTGGAGGGGTGGGGAGGATGACAGACTGAGGGAGGTCCGAGAGCTGGAAGTTCAGAGGGATGGGTTTCTGGGTGGACAGCATCGAGGTTACTGGGGGCCTGCATGCTGAAGAAGTAGAAGGTAGATCATCTGCTGAGTCACTGCCAGAGCAGGGGAGGAGGCTGGAGAACAGGCTGGCAGTTTGCAGGAGCCTCAGAAATGATGGGGAGGGAGCTGAGGTGGGATTGGCCACTCAGAGACCAGGATGGGTCCCCTCTGCCCAGCCCTGAGGTTTTCTCCAGCAGTCCTAGCAAATGTGGGCTGGGAGCTGAGGTGTCAAGGTCAGACCTCCAGAGACACTGAGGAGTAAGGGTGCCAGAGGGCCAGGAGAGTGAGGCATCATGGTTCTGGAAGATCCCCCAAGGCCCACAGAGACCCTGGGGAGCTCAGGGCTGAGGTCAGCTGTGAAGCAGGTCCCCTGAGAGGCTCTCATGAAGGATGTGCTGTCCTATGATCTGAAGCTGTAATCTCCCAGCATGAAGGATGGGAAAAGAGGAGATTGCAGTCAGGGAGCAGTGGTCTCGGGAATGCCAGGTTGGACCAGGCTTTTTGGAATAAAGGGTGGCTCACAGAATTGCAAGATCTGAGAGACTAGGAGGGGGTTTATCAGGGGTTCACAGGGAGTGGCATGTGGCTCTGATTGTCCCACCTTTGTGCCTGGGGTGTGAGTCCTGCCACCCCTCATCCTTCACCGTCTGGAATCTCTGTGAAGCATGTTCCACCTCTGTAAGCTGGGGGCAATTCAGAGCTCTGGGCTTGATTAAGAGGCAAGGATAAGCTAAAGGTGCAACCAGATTGGAGCTTCACAGCGGAGTCCTCTTTGTGATTTTTTTTTTTTTTTCTTTTTTTGCACTAGCTCATGCGGATGCCTGAGAAAGGCACTAGGTGGGAGTGGATGGACAGCGATTCTGGAGGGGTAAGTACCCTCTTGAGACAGCAGAAGGTAAGGCAGGAGACTGTGAGGAAGATGGAAAAAAAAAAAAAAAGGAAGCAGACAAAAGAGGAGCAGGAAAAGAGGAGAAAAAGGTAATAAAAGGGAAATAGACACAAAATGGTAGAGACAGAGAAAAGGGAGAGACAGAGACATCCAAGAGAGAGACAGACAAAAGACAGATTGCTTGAGACAGAGACAGGGAGAGAAGGTGCTGAGCAGCTGGTGCTGGCCTGATGCCCAGGAGTTGTTCCAGAAGCTGCTGGGCTGGACCCAATCAGGGCAAGATGGATAGCTGCTTTGGGGAGGTAGAGGCCACCAGGCCAGGCAGCCACAGCCACGGAGAACCCAATCCAGTGACTATTTCCATTCCAGACAGGCTAAGGTAGCTCCTGAGGGTTTCCTCAAAGGCACTCTGAGGCCATGGAAGGGGCTGCTGGGTGACACAGACATCAATTCTGCTCCTACCCAGCTGTGATATTTGACAGCCACTGAGCTGCAAAATGGGAACCACTGTCCTCAGTGGTTCTAGCCTCTCTTCACCTGCCTCACAGAGACAGGGAGTGAGCCATTCCTGTAGCACAAAGGTGTTCTTTAGGTCCAATGAGGTAGCCTGCTACAGTGGTCCATGCCTCTAATCCCAGCTACTCAGTAGGCTGACACAGAAGGACCTTGAGGGGTTTTTTTTGGTTTGTTTTGTTTTGTCTTTTTCTTTTTTTTTCTTTTTTATCAAACTCACGACTGCCTGCTTGCAAGGCAGGCGCTTATGCCGCTGAGCTAAATCCCCAGCCCCAGGACCTTGAGTTTGAAGCCAGCCTGTGTAACTTAGCAAGACCCTGTCTAAAGATAAAAAAACAAGAATAAAAATAAAAAGGGCTAGGTTCTGCCCCTAGTTTCAAAGGGGCAGGGAGAAATGTGGAGGTAACAAGTACTTCCTGGGGGCTGGGGATTTAGCCCAGTGGCCTAAGTAACTGCTTTGCAAGCAGGCAGTCGTGAGTTCGATCCCCGGTACCGGTAAAAATGAAAAAAAGACAAAAAGAAATCTGGCCAGGAATTTGGGGAGGAGGGTGGTGATTAGTGGAAACAGGTAGTGATTCTAGTTTTCAGGGCCTTAGGACTTTGTTTGTTTTCTTTTTTGCTTTTGTTTTGTTTTGTATTGTTACCAGAGACTGAATTTAGGATCTCTCGCTTGCTAGGCAGGCATTTATGCTGCTGAGTTAAATCCCTAGCCTATTCTTTTTTGTCTTTTTTTTTAAATCTTTTTGAGACAGGGTCTCGCTGTGCAGTTCAGGCTGGTCTTTTATTTTTATTTCTATTTATTTTTTGTCTTTTTTTTTTTTTTTTTTTTTTGGTACCAGGGATCGAACTTATGACCACACACTTGCAAAGCAGGTGCTTATGCCACTGAGCTAAATCCCCAGCCCCTCAGGCTGGTCTTGAACTCACTTTGTAGCCCAGGCTGGTCTCAAACTCACAATGATCCCCCCACCTCAGCCTCCCGAGTGCTGGGATTACCGGCATGAGCCACCACACCTGGCATCTTGTCTTTTTGAGGCAGGGTCTCACTAATGCTGGCCTCAGCTCACTTTATAGCCCTGGCTGGTCTTGAATTTACAATAATCTTCCTGCCTCAGCAGGAGTGCACCACCATGCCCAGCTCTACTTTTTTGTTTTTTGAGACAGGATCTCACTATGTAGTTCAAGCTGGCTTTGAACTATGTAGCCCAGATGGCCTTGGACTTGAGGTGTTCCTCCTGCCTCAGCCTCCCAAGTGCTGAGATTACAGGTGTGCATCACCATGGCTGGTAAAGGTTGTATGATTTATATAAAGATTGATTATCTCACTCTCAAAGCTCAGAACTGAGCCCCCATCCCCACTTTATTGTGACGAGGTTCTTCCTAATCACTAAATTGCTGGGTTTAAACTTGTTATCTTCCAGCCTCAGTCTTCTGGACTGCAAGGATTACATGTATGTGGTGCCACATGTATGTGGTAAAAACAACTCCAGAAGGAGGAAAAAAATATGAATTTCATTGCTATGTCCTAACCATCCCAGGGCACTGACCTGATGGTGGCTGATGGTGGCTCTCCACAACTGGGCAATGCAACCTCACCCTGCTTCTGCTCCATTCATTTGACCTCTCATTCATTCAAATGTCACTTGTGAATGTAGCTTAATGACAGAATACTTCCTTAACATGTATGACACCTTGAGTATTGAAAAACATACCTTGGTGTCCGTCCACAGGAGCATAAAATCTGGTGAGACATGGTAAAAGGGCAAACCCAGGGTGCTGCGAAAGGTCACTGAAGAGTCCCATCACCCCATCCCCACCTATTAAAATTCGTGGTCTTCAACCCTGACTGAAGTGCTCTATCTTCCACAGGCTTCCCACAACTGCTAAGAGTGACCTTTGCTCCTGTACGAGTCCTACATTTCCTCTCCAACGGTTGCACACTGGGGTATTATACAAGGGCAAAGAATGAATGATATGCATTGTGTCCTTGTACACCCCAGCCCTGCTGGTGTTAGTCCCTGGCCTGTTGCAAATGGGCTGCACAGGGTGAGCAGCTGCTGTGCGCACAGCGGCTTCTAATGGCTCACGTGGCCACTCCGCCTCCCATCAGATTTGCTTTAAAGTTAGATTCTTTTCCGACTTTTTTTTTTTTTTTTTTTTTTTTTTTTGGTGAGGGGTCGAGGTGGAAGCAATACCAGAAAATTGAACTCATGACCTCAAGCTTGCCAGGCAGGTGCTTATGCCGCTGAGCTAAATCTCCAGCCCCTTAGTGTTATAGTCTTATAGGAGCATGGACCTAATGTGACCTGCATAGGTACAGGTGTGGAATCCAAGTTGTGCGTACCTTTGAGTCACCTAGAAAGCTAAATGTGGATTACAGGTTTGTGGCAAAGGTTGTATGATTTACATAAAGATAACCTTTGCCACATAACCTGTAATTCCCCCCACCCCTACTCTGGAAAATTATCTTCCAGGAAACTGGTGCCTGGTATCAAAACAGAGCCCATGTCCTCCTTATTCTTGCATTCTACAGAGCCTAAGACAGCAGGAGGTGATCAGAGTTCAGTGGATACCTATTAGTTACTTGTCTTTGAACCTCAGTAGCTCAGGGGATGCAACCTAGTTTTGAGTCTCAGTTGCCTTACTTGTAAAGTGGAGACAATAATTTTCACTCCCACCTGGGGCCAGGAGGCCCAGACAAGATTTTGGATGCAAAGTCCCCTGGCAAGCTGGAGTCTGCAAAGCTTCGCATCCAGATGTGGGCTGTTACAGCAATCCTGAGACAGGAGCTAGAACCAAAGAGGCTGGAAGCAAGCGCCCGTCAGTCTGCCTTGCTTCTCCTACCCGACTGTGATGGTGGGGCTCTCTGAACCTGAAATAAGCCAAATTGCGGGTAGCAGGAGACACTCGTGAGAGCCTGCACACCCAGATCCATACCCAGGTTGTGGGTGACCGTGGGCAGGTCCCTCTCTTCAAGTGCATCCGTTTTTCTTCTCCCCTCCCCTCCCTTCTCTTCCCTTTCCCACCTCTCTGTAGTACTCTCTCTTCTCTCTTAAACTTCCAGCACTCTGGCAGGCTAAAGCAGGAGGTTCACAAATTCGAGCACAGCTTGGGCAATTTAGTAACTTAGCCAAGACCCTGTCTCAAGAAATAAAAAAAGGGGGGGGGGGGTCCAGACGTGGTAGTGTGTGCCTGTAATCCCAGCACTTGGGACGCTGAGGCAGGAGGGTCACTCTGAGTTTGAGAGCAGCCTGGGCTGCAAAGTGAACTCAAGGCCAGCCTGAACTGCACAGTGAGCCCTGTCTCAAAAACACAATAAATAAACCAGCATTGTGACGTATGATCGTAATCCCAGCACTCAGTGGGCCGAAGGAGAAGGATTGCTGCAAATTTGAGGTCAACCTGGGCTATCGAGTGAGTTTAAATAAAGCCGGGGAAGGCTGGGGAAAGAGCTCAGTGACACAGCACCTGCCTGGCAAGCGTGAGACCTCAAGGTCGAGTCCCGGTACAAAATCAGTCAATCAATCAATCAAGCCAACCTGGGCTATATAGCAAGGGTCTGTCTCAAGAAACAAAAACAGACAAAACCTGGACATAGTAGTGTATGCCTATAATTCCACTCCAGCACCCTGAGGCTGAGACAAAAGAATGGTAAATAGAGTACTAGCTGAGAATTTAGAGACCCATCTTAAAATAAAAATTAAAAACCAGGCTGGGAATAAAATTTAAAATAAATAATAAATATTTAGAGATTTAAAAAGGGGCTGGGTGGCCGGGGGGCGGGGGGGATTCAGCTCAGCGGCATAAGCACCTGCCTGGCAAGCGCAAGGTTGTATTTGATTCCCCGTACCCAAAAAAAAAAAAAAAAAAAAAAAAAAATCCCCAAAACCTGTCTAGTGCGCATGTCCGCAGGGGGCGATGCACGCTCTCTCTCTGCCTCGGGTTTCAGTAAGATTTTCAATTAAGTCTTTTTAAGGGTCTCTCTGAGCCAGGTGTGGGTAATCCCAACACTCCGGATGCTAAAGCAGGAGGATCGCTGTGCGTTCCAGTCTGACCTGGACTACAAAGTGAACTGAACTGCACAGTGAAACCGTGTCTCAAAAAGATTAAATATATATATATATATATATATATATATATATATATATATATATATTAAAAAGTTGTCTCTCAAAACCAGAGAAAAACACCGAAGCCCCTCCATGGGCGGGGATGTCAACCGCTTTTTGTAAGCTGGAAGTAGCTGATCAAAATAGAAAAGATCGCCTACACACAGACGTTTGGAGACCTTCTCGAACCTTTTCAGTCTCCGTGTAGGTTGCGCCAAATGATCAACTCTCCGTCTGACCAGACCCGCCCCACCCCGAGACCTAACCAGAAGCTTCTAAAACCTCCGAGGTGGGACGGGAAGGGAGGATTTGAAACAAGAGGAAACGTCCTTCACCTTTGGCCCCGCCCCACCTGCACTCTGCAGTTTGCTGTGATTGGCTGCTTTATTCCCAGACTTTCCAATCAGGAGGCTGCTGCGGAGCCAGGGGTGTGACCTAGAGTCCCACTGGGTTGGTCTCTTACTTCCTCTCGGGTCTCTAGCCCGGCCCCGCGACGCCCAGTGGGGAGGCAATGACTAAGCAGAAAAGCCGGGCAGAACCCGCCCGGAAGGGCTAAACCACGCCGCGCCCAGCTGCCATGACCTGTTAGGGTATAGGATGAGGATTTATGGGCCGAGGTGGATACGCTGGGACCTGGTCCTTGATGTTTGCGTAATGATCCAGAAAAATCCCCGGCCGCTTGCTGACCTTTAGTTTCTTTTCTGTACAAAGGACACAGGGGGACATTGGTGGTTCGCACCTGTCATCCCAGCACCCTGCGTGGTCGAGGTGGGAGGATCACCGAAAATTCTAGGCCAGCCTGAACTACAGAGCGAGACCCCCGTCGCAAAAAACAATGAAAAAGAAAAATGACAGGTGTGGGTGAGAATGTGAAGACATTGGGAACTGTGGACCCTAGTAATTGCTGATAGGAAATCAAAGGCGGAAACTGGTGTGCAAAACTAGTGTGGTTCTTCAGCATGTTAAACAGTTATACAAGACCCAGTGATTGCACTCACAGGTATACACCCAAGAGAACAGAAAAAGCTCTCAGATACACACTTGTACACCAGCGCTCACAGCAACACTATCCAGGATAATCACAAGGTGGGGGCTAGGGTGTAGCTCAGGGGTCGAGCACTTGCCTCGCATGGGAGCCCCTGGGTTCCATCCTGGTAGCTAAAAGAATTTAGAAAACCCAAGTATTCATCAACAGAGGAATGGATAAACATCATTTTGGTAAATCAATACAATGACATTTCATTACAGAAGAAAGGTACTGCACATTACAATGTGGATAAATTATTTTTTAAGTACATTTGCCATATATAATGAATACATTCCTTGTGGGGGATTGGTGCATGTACATAGATCACACCTTGATCCTTTTTTATTTCCTCCTCTTCCTTGTTCCTCTCTTCTATCCCTAGATCCCTTTCCCAAAAGGTCTACCTCCCTTTTCCCTACTGCCTTTTATTTTGTACTTTTTTTGTCTTTTTCCTTTTTATCGGTACCGGGGATCCAACTCATGACTGCCTGCTTGCAAGGCAGGCGCTTATGCCACTGAGCTAAATCTCCAGCCCCTTTTGTATTTTATTTTATTGAGACAGGGTCTTGGTATGTTCCCCAGGCTGGCTCAAACTCATGATGATCCTCGGGCCTCAGCTCCAGAGTGCTGAGATTACATGCATGTGCCACCACACACCATTTATTTTGCTTTTTAAATCATTTACACTGTGAGTTTCTCATGTAAGAGAAACCATGTGATAGTTAACCTGGGTCTTATTTATTTTTCTTAGTATTATGGTCTCAAGCTGCATCCATTCTCCTACAGATGATTCAAGTTTAAACCTTCCCGCTGAATGGTGTGCCATTGTGCCCAGTCACACATATGCAGGACCGGTTCATTTGTCAGTAGACACATATGTCTTTGCGACACAGGCGAATCTTGAAGACAAGATGCTCTGTGAAAGAAGCCAGACTCAGAAGTCCATTTGTATGAAATGTCTTCTCCTAGCAAATTGATACAGAAAGTAAATCAGTGGTTTCCAGGGACAGGAGGGAGGTGAGAATGGGTAATAACTGCTAATGGGTATGAGGTCTTTGGGGGAGTGTGTGGTCACATGGTGGTGATTGTTGCACAGCCCTGGGCATACACTAAAAACCTCCAAATGGAATCTCTGGAAAAGGTGAACTTTATAACATGGAAGTAATCTCTCAATAAAATTGTTATTGGGCTGGGCATGTAGGTCCATGGTACAGTGTGTGCTTAGCAAACAAGAGGACCTGTTTTAGATCCCCAGCCTGACTACACAAGCAGCAGCAGCCAGAAGTGGTGGTGCACCCCTGTAATCCCAGCACCATGAGAGGATCACAAATTGGAATCCAGACTGGGCACACCTTAGTGATTTGGAGACCCTGTCTCACAAAAACAAAATGAACCTTATTATTAAAATAAAACAAAACAGTCCTGAGCTAGGTATGGTGACACATACCTGTAATCCCAGCACGTGGGAGGCTAAGGCAGGAGAATCACCAGGCGTTCAAGTCAACCTGGGACTACTCTGTGAGTTCAAGGCCAACCTGAACCGGATCCTGTCTGAAACGAAGAAGAAGAAAAAGAAAAGAGAAGAAAAAGAAAATAAATGGGCCCGGAGATGTAGCTTAGAGCTAGACTGTTCGCCTAGCTTGCACCAGGCTCTGAGTTCAATCCTCAATATCAGGAGGGCAGGAGAAAAAAAGGAATGTACAAAGATAACCCAAAAGGAGAAAAGCAGTAAGGAGATAAACCAAAAGGAGGAAGGAGGAGGCTATAGGAAAGAGGGCAGGGTAGAGAATGTCCCAGAAAATGATCTGGGAGTATGTGAGGGCAGGAGGGTTGATGTAGATGGTACGAACACGCTAGGCCATTCAAGAATAGGATATCGAATTCTCAGTTTCTGGCTGTGGGGTCCTTGCTGCACTTCATCAGCCAAGTATGCTGTCCACACAGCCTGGGCATTGGTGGTACTTTGGGAGTGAATTAACGAGAAAAATGAGAGTTTCAGAGGAGGCAAAAGTAGGTGGGAGATTTAGAAAATCAGCAAAAGGCAGGAAGCAGGTTTTAGCAGAATCCAAATCCCTGAGAATTTCTGAGATTTGTTGTAGGAACGCTGGGTATCCTGGTTTGATGATAACTACCTATAGATGATAGACGGCAGTATTGTGGGTGCATATGTGAGTGTGTGTGTAACACTGGGGATTGAACCCAGGACCACATGCAAACTAGACAGCCCCTCTGGTCCTGCGGTATCTCTCTAGCCCTGGACCCTTGGACCTGTTTCACCTTGACAAGGTGAAAAATAAGAGACATTAGTTGAGAATGGGAGGAGTATCTCAGTTTCCAGTGAATTTGTTTTTTAATCGGTACCGGGGATCAAACTCACAACCATGCGCTTGGCAAGGCAGGCACTTATGCCGCTGAGATAAATCCCCAGCCCCTTCCAGTGAATTTTTACCATCCTTAAAATAAGCTCCTCCTCTTATCCTAGAAAGCCCTGAGTGCACTGGCCTTCTGAATCATCTCTTACCATGATCCTTTTGTTCTGGTCACTGTTTCCTCCTTTTCTTTCTTTTTTTGGCAGGGGAGGGGGTACAGGGGATTCAACTCTTGACCTTGCACTTGCCAGGCAGGCACTTATACCACTGATCTAAATCCCCAGCCCCTAAATGTAGTAGTTGTGCCTTAACAACACTGTTTTGGGGTGTTCTTTTTTTTTTTTTTTAAACTGGAGTTTGAATTCATGACTTGGCGCTTACCAGGCAGGTACTTGTGCCACTGAGCTAAACACCTGCCCCCCCCACCCTTTTTTTAAGACAGGGTCTCCCTTGTAGTCCATGCTGGCCTCAAATTGCAGTGATCCGTCTTGCTTAAGCCCCCCAAGTGATGGGCTTACAGGTATATGTCATCACAGCAGTCAAATCTATCTATCCATCCATCCATCCTTTTCTTTTTCTTTTTTCCTTCTAGACCCTCTGCATGTCCATAGCACCACTTAATTTGTAGCACAAGTTACTTTTTTTTTTTTAATCGGTACCAGGAATTGAACTCACAACCGTGCACTTGCAAGGCAGATGTTTATGCCACTGAGCTAAATCCCCAGCTCTAAGTTATTTCTTTATATGACTTTTTTTTCTTATATTGGGGGGTTGAACTCAGAGCCTTTTTCCCCTACCCTTTTGAGACAGTGTCTTGCGAAACTGCCCAAGCAGGACAGGAACTTGTGATCTTCCTGCCTCAGTTCCCAGAGTGCTGGGATTACAGGCATGTGCCATGTCCAACTCATGTAGATATGTCTATTTGTTCAGTGGCTTGTCATTCTTCTCTTTGTGGCGTTAGGTATCAAACCCAGGGTCTCACCCACGCAGTCCATATTTTCTTCTCTTAAAGGTCAGCTCTATCCCATGTAAACAGGAACCAGATATAGTTTTTTTTTTTTTTTTTTTTTTTTTTTTGAGATGAGATCAACTCACTGTGTTGCCCAGGCTGGCCTTGAACTTGCTTCGACCCTCCTGCCATATCTGAGCTTAGGTGTCGTCTTATTCTATGGCCTCAGAGCTCAGCACAATACTTGGCCTAGCAGGTGCTCCAGAAGTATTTGTGCAGGTCTGTTATTCTCTTGACAAGTATTACTTGGGCACCCACTGTGTGTAAGGTCCAGGGCACAGAGCAGGACACAGCTGGACAGCCCAGTTCCTCACCTCCAGGCTGGTAGATGATACAAGTCAGGCAGTGTTCTGGACACGCAAGGTGAGTGTACTCACTGAGGATGGGGGCTCCTGGGGTCTGTCAGTGCAGAGTGAAACTGGAGGTGAACTGAAAGTTGGCTAAGGGAAGGAGGAAAGAGTCATACATATTCCAGACAGAGAACAGTGTGTGCAGAGGCCCCTCTGTGGGAAGAAAGCCCAGACATTAGAGGAATTGAAAATAGTTTGCCCTGGCTAAACTTTGGCAGCAAGAGGCCAAGGGATGATGCGGAGAACACAAGTAGAGCTAGACTGTGCAGGAGCTTTGGGATCTTAGCTAACGCACCGAGGAAGAGCACCAGGAAGCCATACAAGGGGTTGTGGCACCAATGTGTTTGCAAATAGGAGCAAGTTCACTGTTTTTGTGCATGGAGAATGGATCAGAACCCAGGAAACAATAAGGCCTTGGCAAGAAATGTGGGAATAGAGAGAAGGGACATAATCCCAGCACTTGGGAGGCTGAGGCAGGAGGATGGCTGATTTTGAGGCTAGCCTGGGTTACAGTGTTCAAGGCCAGCCTGAACTGCATAGTAAAGCCCTGTCAAAAAAAAAAAAAAAAAGGGACAGATTCCAGCAGGGTTACAAGAATAAAGAGGACCTTGTGATTAGTCATTGAGGCTGGGAATTGTTGAGGATAATAGGTTTCTGCCCAAGTTTCTGGATGATGTTAGAGTACTACTCATCAACAGGGAACTAAAATTTAGATCTGGGTGACAGAGTTACCAGTGGGGGAGGCTGAGTTTCAGGAGAGAGTAAGTCACTCGCAGTTAACACAAGATTATTCTGTGACTTTCTTATTGGCAAAAGCCCTTTTTTAAAATTTTGTTTTGCTTTTTGTTTTTTTTTTTTTTGAGACAAGTTCTCATTTATGTAGTTCAAGCTGCCCTTGAATTCAGTATGTAGCCTTGATGGGCATGGAACTCTCTCAATGATCCTCCTGTCTTAGCTTCCCAAGTGCTGGAATTAGAACCATACACCACCATATCCAGCTTTTTGTTTTGTTGCATAGTACTGGAGATTGGATTAAGGCCTTTGCCCTGAGCTACATCTTCAGTCCATTTTTTTATTTTGAGAGAGTCTTGCTAAATTGTCCAGACTGGGCTCAGACTTGTGATCCTCCTGACTCAGCCTCCCAGAGTTCTGTGATTTCAGGTGTGTACCACCACACCTGGCAAAGCCTAATCTTATTTATCCATGTGCTTAACCCCAGGTGGCCCTGGCAGAGAGAGCACCAAAGTGTGCTGAATGAAACAGTGAGTAGGGAATGGGGGTGTAGCTCAGGGATAGAGTGCTTGCCTAGCATGCATGAGGCCTGGGCCATTGCCGCAACAAGAAAATATACAGAAATGCGCATCTACCTTGTGCCAGGAAGGTAAAGAATATTCAATGTTGGTAACTGCTATTAATAAGCATTACCGCTAGGTGCCCACCTGTGATCCCAGCACTCTGAGGCAAGAGGATCACAAGTTTGAGGCCAGCTTAGGCAATTCATTGACTTTATTTATTTTAAATAGGTACTAGGGATCGAACTCATGACCATGTGCTTGCAAGGCAGGTGCTTATGCTGCTGAACTAAATCCCCAGCCCAATTCAGTGACTTTTCAGTGACCTATCTGAAAAAAAAAAAAAAAAAAAAGATTCAGGATGTAGATAAGTACAAAGATACAAGATTCAATTCCCAGTATCACAAAAACAATTTTTTTTTTTTGTCTTTTTTGAGATAGGGTCTCACTGTGCAGTTCAGGTTCAGGCTGTCCTTGAGCTCACTTTGTAGCCTAGGCTGGTCTTGAACTCCCAATGATCCTCCTGCCTCAGCCTCCTGAGTGCTGGAATTACACGAGTGAGCCACCACATCCGGCTTTACAAAAACAAATGTTTAAAAAAGCACCAGAAGGGCTGGGAATTTAGCTCAGCAGCATAAGCACCTGCCTGGCAAGTTCGAGGTTGTGAGTTCAATCCCCAGTACCAAAAAAAAAAAAAAAAGCAGGATCCATGCCTGTTCTGGCTATACCATGCAAATTTAGACAAATCATTTTCTCCTTCAACCTCAGGTCTTCTAGTCTGTAAAATGGGACAATAACATAGTACCTCCTCCACAGGGCTGCTGTGAGGATCAGTGAATGTTGGTGAGAGGGTTTTGCTTAGATAGCAAAGAAACATTTTCCCATCTGTCATCCTTTCAGTCCCCGTCCCTTGGTGACAGTGGATCTCAGCTCCTTGGTAAATGGAAACAAAGTCATTCCTGTCAGAAATTGATAGAATCTGACACCAAAGTGTCCACTTCACTCTTTGGCTGAGGCTGAGAGAGGACAAGTAGTGACCCCATGATGTCCTCGTCCCGATCCCTAGGGCCTGTGAACAAGTAACATTATATGGTTAAAGGGATTTTGCAGATGGGATTAAATGAAGGATCTTGAAAAAGGAAGGCTATCCTGGTTTATCCAAATGGGATTAACGAGGCATGGTAGTGTGTACCTGTAATCTCAGCACTCTAGGAGGCTGAGGCAGGATGACTGCAAGTTTGAGTCTAGCTCTGGCAGTTTAGAAATTTATCAAGAGTCTGTCTTAAATAAATAAATACATAAATTTAAAGACATTTGGGAGAGATATAGCTCAGTCCAAAAACTGAGTTTAATCCCTAGTACCTCACTGGGTATGGTAGTGCATGCCTGTAATCTCAGCACTCCAGAGGCTGAGGCAGAAAGATTGTTGTGAGTTGCTTCTGTTTTTTTCCATTATGAGTTTGAGACCAGCCTGAACTACAAGAGTGAGACCCTGTCTTAAAAAGATAAAAAGAAAAAAGAAAAAAAAAAAAAAAACACTTCCAGAAAAAGGAAAAACAAAAAACAAGAGAAACAAAGTCAAAGAGGTAAATTGCTGGAAGCAGAGGTCAGGGTGATGTGATTCCTGGATAGAGGTCATAAGCTGGCAGAGAGTAAATGCAGCTTTTTTTGCTTTTTTGGGTACCAGGGATCGAACGCACAACCTCGAGTTTGCCAAGCAGGCACTTAATGCCGCTGAGCTAAACCTCAGGCGCCAAAGGCAGATCCTGTAAGTGGGGAAACAGCAAATAGTTTCTCTGCTTAAGCCTCCAGAAAGGCCACCAACTGCTAACACCTTGAATTCAGCATAGGAGACCCATGTCACACTTGTGACCATGAGAACTGTAAGGCAGTCAATTCATGTCATCTGTGGTCATTTGTTACAGCAACAACAGCCTGCAGGTGGGACCTGAAGGGCAGGTGACACTGACAGGCTGGGTAACATTGGCAAATCACCCAGTCTAGGGCCAAGAGAGCAGCTCCAGCAAGAACCTCTTGCCCCCAACACCTGTTTTGTTTCCTATCTCCCTTCCTGCGTCCTCTCAAGAAATTTGTGTCTTGGTGACCCTGCTACCTCTGCTACCTTGCAAGACAACCTTGAGCAAATCCTTCCTTTTTTGCTGGATTTCAGTGTCTGCAAATGTAAAAGACAAGAGGACCTGGTCCAGGGGATCCTCTGGGCCCTGGAGGCCTGCCACAGTGAGTCAGCGTTTCCAGGATGTGCCTGGCCTGTGAGAGCTCCCTGAGGATGCTCTTGGGCTGCTGCCCTCCATCCCTGAACTGGTTTCCTCTAGAGAATCCTGCCACAAATAATGCACTGCTGCTGAAACAATGAGCTCAGTAAAAGACGTGGACAATGCTTTATTGACTTGGCACCTATGTACGGTGGCTACAGGCCCCAGGCTTCTTTGTCATTGCAAAGTGGAGGCACTGTGGTTGGGGGAGCATAAGTCAGCTTATGGTTCCTGCTGCTGGGAGGGACCACTGTCCCTGCTTTGACCCCTCCAGCCCCCTCGTCCAGCCGAGCACCATCTGAAACCAGGCCCTCACTGGGAGGGGCTGGGTGATGACCCAGGCTCTTCCACAGCTCCTGAGCGTCTAAGGAAAGGGCCGCAAGTCCCTCTTGCCTGTCTCCTCTTGTGATAGGTGAAAGGGAGGGGAGAACCCTATTTACAGAGGACTGCTGAGCTGCCTGGGTCAGGATCCAAGTAGGCAGAGTCAGGAGTACTGGAATAGGAGGTCTCAGGAAGAGAAGAATTGCGGGTCATCCCCCTCTGTTTTCTGTCTTGGCTACATGGTTGTATTCATTGTGTGGAGTCCACAGTAGCTGATGAAAGGCTGAGGTCACATAATTAAGTTGATGGGGTAGAGGTCCCCATGCAGGACCACCCTGCCTGGGCAGCCTCTCTTCCTGAACATGGGGAAGGAGGAGCTGCCTAAACTGCAAAAGTCACAGGGGGAGACCCTCCTGAAGGAGGATGGCTTCCTGGGGAAGGAGGGCTTCCTGGAAGAGGAGGGCCAGGTGACATTCGGCTCCCCAAAGTAGAGCTGGTCTGCAGAGCCAGCTGGGTCATGACAGCTGGCACAGGACGCTGGCATCCTCACTGTGGTCACAGTTGTGAGCATCCCATCGGATGTGGGAGCAGAGCAGCAGGGTGCTCTCATCCCCACGGCACTTGACATTATCCAGGAGGATAGGGCCTCGGCCTGGGCCAAAGTGGGCCTCACCAGGGGCTGCCAAGGGCTGGCCACAGCCCAGCTGGCGGCACAGGACACTGGCTGCTCGCATGTCCCAAGCATCATCACAAATGGTGCCCCACCGCTGCCCTAGGAAGAGCTCCACACGGCCCTCACATCGGTGGGTTCCACTGGCCAAACGTAGGTGTCCTGTGGGGAGGGCAAGCCTGGGTTAGAAAAGACCACTTTCTAGCTAGGCTACAGGCAGTGAAGGGTAGTGCTGGGAGACAGCATTGCCCTGGAGGACTCCATGAGTTCAGACAAATGAAGCTAAATTAGGATGGGCTACTACAGCTGGGAATGCTAGCGAACACCTGTGACCCCACCACGCTGAAAGACTAAGGCAGCAGAATTACAGTTAATTCGAGGCCAGCCTGAACTATATCAAGACTGTCTCATTAAGGGAAAAATAAATTAAAAATAGCAGGATATATTACAATAACCCACTTTGACTTTCCATTATCTTGATTTAAAGCCCTGTATTACTCTCACCATCTTGTTTTTGACTGATGTCCCCCTACTCTGTTTTGCTTGATAGTACCAGGTTCGAAAGTTTAAGCAACAGCTGTGAAGATACTGAGATTCATTATAACGCCCATTCTCGTTGACTATTATCTACTTTTGAAGACCTATAATGTCTCCAATGTTTTGGTTTTGTCGGTTTTGTTCTTTACTGTTTTGTTCAATTTTATTATAACTAATGATATAGGCAATTCTATTAGAGATAGCGGGAGGCATTATGGTAACCATTGTTGATCACCTTGTATTATGCTTTTACATTATGTATTATGTCCACCCTTTTGATTTGATTGACTCTGTTCTGTTATGTCACATTTGGTTCTACTCCCTTCCAAAAAAGTAATAAGAACTGTGGGAGCAACAAAACCCAAAATGGGTAATTGTTATTGTACAAAAGAGAGGAAAAGAAAGTGCTCTAATCAATATAACTGCATGTATATATAAATGCATAAGATAGATAATGATATCACTGAATTTTGTTGGATCATTGAACAGAACTGTTTGCAGTCTCTGTTGGAATGTCCACTTTACAAGCTTTAATTTTGTGACTTGAACAATTATTTCTAAGATGACAATATGTAATCCATTAACTAGTGATTTCCTGTTTATTTTTTTTCTGTAAATCTGTATAACTTGTACCCTTTCTCTGCTTTTTTTCTCCTTAATTAAAAAAAAAAAAAAAAAAAAAAAAAACTCTGTCTCAAAGAAACAAGGTCTATCTCATCTCATCCTGGTGTCCCTACCTCATTTTCAGACAGCTGTGGGTACCTACCATCCCTTGGATGAGGAGTGGGCGCCCGGGTGGTCTCAGAACCGTCCTGCTGGACTTGCTCCTCTGGGCCTTGCTCAGAAAGGACAGAGAAAAAAAGACTGTGGTCACACTGGGTAAGATATTTCTTAGGGTCAAGCATTTCTAGGGACACACAGGATTTCACAGATTTCTGAAGCACAGCTTCCTGCTTCTCTTAGATTAAAAGGGGAGGCTGTGAGCCAGGTGTGGTGGAGCCCACCTGCAATCCCAGCACTCCAGAAGGCTGAGCCAAGGAGGATTTTAAATTTGAGCTCAGCTTGAGCAAAATAGGACGTAGTAAAATAAAATAAAAAACAGGGCCGAGGATGCAGCTCAGCGCCAAAGCCCTGAGTTCAATCACAGTACTAAAAAATAAAGTTGTGTTAACTTGACCCTAGGGCCCAAGACAGAAGCTGTGGCCTGGCCCTTTTTGGCCAAGTCTTTCAGGAGGGTATAGAGCCCACTAACCCTGAACGGCAGATAAGAGTGGGTAACAATCAACGAACAGTATTTTACAAAGTCCTGCCAGATTGAGCAAACACGCTCTTTGCATCGACTCCTCCCATCGGGTCACAGGCTAGCGCAGTAAACGAAGACCTCCCAGAGGTCCTTATACTACAGCCCTGTAGTCCTTTGACTCAGCAGGAAGCAAGCGGCTCTGCCCTTCAAGGATCTAACCGCTCCTCGCCATACGCCCCACCCTCAAGCCCGCCCTGCTCTCCCACTGCAGAGGGCGCTCCCTTCCGGCCCCGCCCCAGTACTGCGCAGCCGCAGAGCACACACGCTGCCGCGGAGCTCGTCTCAGCGGACCGCTCCCGCAGTAGTGCAGCAAAGAACCCTCACGCAGACCCCGTCCCACCCATGCCGCAGTACGTGCTGCGTAGGACCCCGCCCTCGCCGCACTGCGTGCCCAACAAGGTCCCGCCCACACGCTCCGACGTGCGTGCTGACGCAACCCCGCCCCACCTTTCCTGGTGGGCGCAGCCTAAGTGGTCATCCTTCGAAACCTCCTCACCTGCGCATAGTGCGCCGGCGTCCTCGTGGTGGCCGCAGTTATGTTGGCCCCAGCCCAGGTGGAAGCAGTCGCTCAGGCGGGCCTCCGTGCCCGCACAGCCCACGTTGTCTAGCAGTACGGGGCCGCGGCCGTAGCCGAAGTGGCCGAGCCCCGTGGCGCCCAGCGCGGGCCCGCATCCCGCCTCGCGGCAGGCCACGCGCGCGTCCGCGAAGTCCCAGTCATCGTCGCACACGGTGCCCCAACCCCCGGCGTACAGCACCTCCACGCGCCCGCGGCACGGGCCCGGGCCGCCCACCAGCCGTAGCCGCCCGCCTGCGGGGCGCACAGGCCCACGGCCAGAGGGGCTGGGCTGGGGCGGCCAGCTCCCAGACAGAGCCCCGGCCCCACCCGCTCCCACCCTCCACCCCCGACGGGCCCCAGCTGTGCAACTTACTTTTCTTCCCCAAGGCCCAGGCAGCTGTGGTGAGCAGTGTCGTCTCCCCAGAGGGGTGAGCACCAACTCCTGTAGCTGCAGAGACAGAGAAGGCAGCTAGAGCCTTCAAAAATTACATTTCTGTAGTAGGACAGGGCCACCCCTACTGATAAAAGTCCCACCTGTATTCGCAGTCTTAATCTCAGAATCGAGTTACCTGGCACTCCTGTGGAACCTATGAGCCGAATTCTAATTCCAGGCATTTGCCCATATTTATCGGATGCTGGGGGTTGAATTCAGGGCCTTCACACTGAGCTACATTCCCGTTTTTGGAGACCGTATTGCTAAGTCACTGAATTACCCAAACTCATAATGGCTCAAACTTGCAATCCTGCCTGCCTCCTGGAGAGCTGGAATTATAGTCATGTGCCTCCACACCCAACCGTTATCCATATTCTATTTATTTTTAAAGACAGGGTCTCATTACATAGTTCAGGCTAGCCTTGAACTCACTCTAGCTTAGCCAGGCCTTAAACTCCTACCTCAGCCTTTGGAGTTCTGGATTACAGTACCACCCACTATTATCCTTATTTTAATCTCAGTGATAGCTCCACACTTAAACCTTGATTCATACCTCATCTCAACCTCTCATAGGGCTTCTCAATTCCCAATCTAAGCATCAGCCCCAAATTTGACTTGAGCACTTTGAAGAAATCTTTTATACCTCCTCTCATTCCTCTGAACATTTTAGATCTCTGGGTTCCATCCTTGCTTCATCTGCTTATCTGTTCTCTCACCCACCTCTTTACCATCTGGTCACAAGCCCTGGCCCATTAGGGCTACCTTCCTGTGGATCCAGCACAGCCTCCTGTTCCCAGCCCACCCACCTCATCCCTGCCATTCCAGCCTAGAGGGCAAGCTGTTCACCTGCTGGCTCTGTGTGCCAGGACCCGTCCTCTCTTGTGGCCGAGGGTGGCAGTGCTGTGAGAGTTGGGGGGCCCAGGACTAGAGCCAGAGAAAAGACAACAGTGTCAGACGCTGAGGTGCAGCTTCCTAGTCAGCCAGGGCAGGGGCAAAGAAGAGGGTTTCCCAGAAGACAACAGATTTTACTTTCAGGCTCGGGCCTCAGCCCTAGCTGGGATCCAAGAGGTAATTTATTTGTGCTTATGAAGGCTGTCTTTCCTTTTTTTTTTTTTTTTTTTTTTTTTTTTTGGTACTGGGGATTAAACTCACGACTGCCTGCTTGCCAGGCTGGCACTTACACTGCTGAACTAAACACCTGGCCCATTCATTTGTGCTTATGAATGTACAGTACACACTTCCCGGTTTATGCAGGGCTTTCACAGTGCTGTGGTCATTTCCCCCAATGTCCGGTGTTCTCAGAAGCCTAGTGTGCCCAGGACATGGAGATGCAGAAGGGCACCCATCAAGGAAGAGCAAACCCATCCCCAGGAACTTGCAAAACAGGACTCATCCCATCTTCCAGCTAAAATAGTGCTAGGAAGGGCAAGGGGAATGCTCGAGCCAGTAGCAAGATCAACCTGTGGCTCTGTGTCTCAGGGTGTGAGGCTAGGTTAAGGTTTTGCCTCTCTGGCCCTCAATTTTTCCACCCATAAATGGAGATGAGACCCTTGGTTTGTGCTAGCTTGTAAAATATCCTTTATGAAATGTCTTTATTGGCCCCTGGAGTCCCCTTTGCTGAGAACACTTCCCAAATTGGAGAAATCCAATAGAAAAGAATATAAGTATGTGCTAGGTGATTCTGAACTGACTCTGAAACAGTTCAAGAGTCTAGTTACTTTGTCTAAAGTAATCCATGAAGAATTCTTGGAAACTACTAGAAAATTGTGGAAGCATTCTCAGTGGAGCCATGCTGCAGTGTAACAGCTGTGGAGTGTGTGACCAGCAGTACTGGGGTACTGTGAAGCATCTTTTATAGCATTACTGAAATAATGTAAGTCATTTTGGAACCTTCCTTGAGTTCTGGTAATCATCAAGGAAGCCAACGCACCCTCCAACCAAACTTCAGCTAGCATTCTCCCAGGCCGCCCCCGGCCCCGCCCCGGCCCCGCCCCGCGACCACACCCCGCCCCGGCCACGCCCCTAACCTGCACCTGCGCAAAGCACGCCCGCGTCCTCGTGGTGGCCGCAGTTGTGCACGCCCCAGCCCAGGCTGAGACAAGCTGCCAGGCGGGGCTCACTGCCTTCGCAGTGCACGTTGTCTAGCAGGATGTGTCCTGTGCCATAGCCGAAGAAGGCGTTGGTGGTGGCAGCCAAGGCCGTCCCGCAGCCCAGCTGGCGGCAGACCACGGCGGCATCCGGCAGCCCCCAATCATCGTCACACACCGTGCCCCACACGCCGCTGTGCAGGATCTCCACTCGGCCCTGACACGGGCCCGCACCCCCAATCAGGCGCACGCTGCCTTCACCTGTGATGGGGGCCGGGACAGGAAGCATCTCCCAAAGCGCCCTGCTGCCCAATTTCTGTACTAGCTCCCCCGCCCCATCTAAAGTGCTGTGTGCCTCAGGTTCCCAAACCCCAGAGGCGCTGCCACCTCGCGGCTGGCTGGTGAATGCAGCCAACTGTAAAAGTCAGTTCTGTCTAAAACCAGTCCTCATAGCCCCGGTTAGTGGCACATGCCTGTAATCTCAGCACTTGGGAGGCTGAGGCAGAATGACTTGAAAATTTGAGATGAGTCTGGGCTACAAAGTGAGCTCAAGGCCAGTATGAACTGCATAGTGAGACTCTCAAAAAGCTAAAAACCAGCCCTCACTTCCCTTGTCTCCACTCTCAGGGAGGGCTAGGATGTGCTGTTTTGTTATTTACTACTACCTAGAAGAAAATCTCACCTTTCAAGATGCAGGCCTATAAAAAGAAAAAAATTCAAGCCTGCCTGATACGACTCTCTTCCTCCTCTGCTCCGCATACCGTGCTTTCTGTATGCTAGATAAGTGCTCTAACATCAAACTACATCCACAGCCCTTTATTAAATTTTATTTATTTAGTCTTTTTCTGAGACAGGGTCTCACTGTACAATTCAGGCTGGCCTTGAGCTCACTTTGTAGCCCGGGCTGGTCTCAAACTCGAAATGATTCTCCTGCCTCTACTTCCAAGTGCTGGGATTACAGGCATGTACCACCACACCCAATGCTTTAAATTTTATTTTGAGACAGGGTCACTAAATTGCACAGACTCGATTGAATAATCCTGCCTCAGCCTCCCATTGTGCTGGCATCAGGAGCATCAGCCTGGAGACTGTCATTGTTGTTATGACCCCTCCCCCAGTTTTCCTCACTCTTAGCCTTTCATTTGTAACCTGTATCTTTCCACTGAGTAGTGAGAGACTTCTCAGACCCAGGAGATGCCATCATGGTCCTACATTCCCCTTACTTACCTCTCCCATTCTGGGGAGTTGTAGGGGGCGCTCTGCCAGTTAACATTTTCCTTGTTGGTGGCTGGGTGGGCAAAAATTCTGGGATAGGAAGCAAGGTGGAAAGAAGGATTCAGGGATCTTTCTGTTCTCCATTTTACGCCACAAAATAGGTGCCTGCACTCAGATCCTCTAGCCACTCAAGAGGTCAGAGCCTCTTTTCCAGCAGTAGAAGGTGCAGCTTCTGCCTAGGTCTGCATGGAATTGTTGGATAGTGGGAAGTCCCTACTGCCTGCTGCCTGTCACCATCTGTCTGCCCTCCAGAGGTCCCGGGCCTCTGCTCACCATTGCACAGCACGGCCACATCCTCGTAGTGAAAGCAGTTGTGGACACCCCAGCCCCGGCTGCCACACTCGCTCAGCGCCATCTCCTGCCCACGGCATTCCACGTTGTCCAGCAGGATGGGGCCCCTGCCCTGGCCAAAGGCAAGGGGTCTTGGCACAGGCAGTGCCAGGCCACAGCCCAGCTGACGACACACCACATTGGCGTCCACCACGTCCCAGTCATCGTCACATACGCTGCCCCAGGAGCCACTGTGCAGGACTTCCAGGCGTCCTCGGCAGCGGCTGGGGCCCCCTACCAGCCTCAGCTCTGCAAAGAGGGTGGAGCTGACACCAGGGGTCCCTATATGTCAGCTCATAGGATGCCTGGGGAGCCTTAGGATCAGTGCCTTCTGTGAAATGGGGAGACTGTAGTGGTGTTTGGAGGGGAATGTTGGGAGTGATGAGGGCTCTGTACTCCCTGAGGTCGCTCGTGGCCAGAGGACCACCTGGAGACAGGGTAGGGAGCAGGAGGGAGGGGCGGGCACCTACCTGGCAAGGGCAGCAGAGTGGGCTGCAGGGCACTGGCTGAAACAAAGTGAGGAAGAGCGTGGCCCCTCCACCCATCCCTGGCTGCCAGGTCCCAGGAACACAGCCTTCCCTCCCCCATGGTTCTTGCTGTCACCCTCGCCTCTGGCTCCAGTCTTTCCAAAATTCACCAGTGCCTTTTGGATGTGTTGAGGTCAACTTCTCTGACCCCATCATTCTTTCTTGAAGGGAAGAGAGCCACAGGCCACTTCAGAAAGATCTGCAAGATCTGGGCTCTGTGGCACATGTCTGTAATCCCAGCACCGTGAGAGGCTGAGGCAGGAGGATTGCAAATTAAAGCCCAGCCTCTGCAATTTAGCAAGTTAGCAAGGTTTGTCTCAGAAGGGTTGGGGCTGTAGCTCAATACAGAGGCCCGGGTTCAATGCCCAGGACAAACAAAAATCTATGTGAGACAGAGAACTGCCTGTCTTTATTGTACAATTCCTTAGGTTCCCACTACCTGAGTCCCAGCAGCTGAGCCTCTCCATAGAGCCTTCTAGTGTCTTCTGACCAGCAAGTTTTGCACCATGAGCCACACCCCAGCCCCTGTGTGTTTGTGTCTTGTGCTGGGGATCAAACCCAGGGCCTTGTGCATACAAGGGGAGAACTCCACCAATGAGTCACATCACCAATCCCTGTGTTTGTTTTGAGACAGGATCTTGTTATGTATTCTAGGTTGGCTCCCAGCCCCCTTTTGACTACTTTTTATTATGTATTTATTTATTTTTTGGTGGTACTAAGGATTGAACCAGGGTGCTCTACCATAGAGCTACATCTCCAACCCCTTTTTTTATGTTTTTTTGTGAGAGAGTCTCACTAAATTGCCCTGGTGGGACTTGAACTTGCCATTCTCCTGCCTCAGCTTCCTTCAGTGCTGGTATTACAGGTTTGTGCCACACCAGACCCATCTTCTTTTTTCTTAAATTAGGACAGTCTCTAGGTGGTTCACTGCCATGGATTCTACCAGCTGCCTTGCCAGCAGCCATTGGTGAGCCCACCACTTCCCTTCCTTCCCTGTTTCTGGTGTCTCCTAACTGCCCATTCGCGGTGACATTTAGCTCTCATCTCCAATACTGAGCCCTCTGTTCCCCAAACTCAGACACTTAGTGTCATCAACCCAGACCAGGGTCAGAGGGCCCTGGAATCTAGCTCCTTCACAACCCATCTCCCACCAGCAAACAGAGCTAGAAGGAGGAAACAGCACGGGCTGGTTGGGACACTCACCCAGAGGCAGGAGGAGGAGGAAGGACAGGGCTGGGGGCAGAGGCAAAGGGGCAGCACCCCCATCCTCAGGCCTCCACCCCATGCTCATTTCATCAGGCTGGGGCCCGAGGATTCTGATTCCAATCTCTGCTTCCTTGTGTACCCAGCCAGCGGATGGGCTTTCAGATGGTCCCATCAAGGGGTCTGGCAAAGTCACAGCTGGAACATCTGGAATTCAAGATGGCAGTGTGTGCTGTCAGCTGGAGACACCTGTTTCGGGGGCATGCATTGGCTTTGATAATCCCAGTGGAAGCAAAGGCGCTGATGCCAGCTAGGAGCTGAGAAAAAGATGGGGTGTGGCCGGAACTAATGAGGAGTTAGGTTTGGCCTGAGCCATGGATCAGAAGGAGGTAAGGGGTGGGAGATGAGGTTGGGCAGGGTGTCCCAACAGGGTTGTGAGAGTCCCAATGATTCAGAGTTTATCCTCAGGGCCTCGAGCCCTGCAGTGTGGTCAGTGCCACAAGTGGCACTTAATTAACCCACTTAATCTTAGGGATTATAGGGGTTGGGGATTTAGCTCAGTGGCATAAGCAAGCAGGCAGTCGTGAGTTTGATCTCTGGTACTGATAAAAAAAAATCTTAGGGATTATATATATATATATATTTATACTGGGGATTGAACTCACAACCTCACTCTTGTCAGCAGATGCTTATGCCACTGAGCCAAATCTCAGGCCTTTATTTATTTTATTTTCATGGATTTTTTTTTTTTTTTTTTTGCTTTGTATTTAAGGCAAAGCACTCTGGTTTTGCATTTATTGGAACAATATAAAGTTTCCCTTTAAAATAAATTTAAATCAGAATTAGTGAGTCACTGTAAAGAAAAAATATATTAAGGAAGTTTTTGATTTTGTTTGTTTTTTGAGATAGTGTCACGCTGCATAGCCCAGGCTGGTCTAGAACTCATGGCCATCATCCTGCCTCAGCCTCCCAGAATGCTGGCATTACAAAGAGTGCTGACACACCTGAGCCCAAGATTTTTTTAAAAATAACTTTTGAATTATGGTATAAAAGCATATGGTATAAAGCATATGGTATAAAAACAGGGCTGGGGGTTTAGCTCTGCAAGCAGGTGGTTGTGAGTTCGATCCCCGGTACCGATAAAAATGAAAAAGACAAAAAAAAAAAAAGCAAACAAGTGCACACATCCTAAGTGCAGAGCTCAGCAAACATTCACACCATGTAGCCAGCACCTGGAGCCCTGCATGTCCCCTCTCCTGCAGACTTTAACAAGAATGTGATGCTAGGCATGCAGACAGTGGATTGGTTGGTGGGGGACAGGCTGCTTCAGAGGCTGATGAGATTCTCAGGACCCCCAGATAATGAGGGGCAGAGAGGAAGCAGAGATGGGAAATATAGCTGAGGCCAGAGTTGGCAGGGCCAGGCTTCCGTGGCTTGTTCAGGCTTGGAGCAACACCTTGCTGGGCGCTGCAGCAGGAGGTGGTGGGAGGACACTTCTGCTTCAGGTTTATCATGAGCGAGGTGCCTGGAACTAGGTGCCCCTCCCTAAGGACCCCCAGCCCCATGGCCGTCTGCCCCTGGCTTCTCTCCACCCTGGCACGCAGTCTGCTTAGGTAGCAGCTGAAAACATATCTGGATGCAGACACAAGAGTTTCAATGCCCCATTCATGGGGCCCAGGATGGCCCTCCATGGAATAATCAGCTTTTGTCCTCCCTTGCCTAGACTGGGGACAGCTGGGAGATGGGAACTAAGGGCTGTGAGGAGGGGGACAGCCACAGGCCAGGCTTGCAGTGTGGGGAACACACAGCTTCCTAGGTTTTCCCCTACTCTCAGGCTGTGGGATGCTGCCCCTCCTCCCCAGGCCAGGTCAGTCTCCACCCTGGGAGCAGCCTTGGGGACAAACAACTTCCAGAGATCCTGCCAGGAATCCTCAGGTGCCCCTGCTCTGTCACCAGGCCTCAGACTCAAGAGTGAGGAAAAACACTCTGAACCTGACCTCCATGGACTTCAAATCTCCACTGACCCCAGGGGCCCTAGTGAAGCCAGCCTCACCCACCAGCTTCAGAATGACTCCCCAATCCTCTTGTGCCTCCTACCCTGGGGATGCTGGCTAAGGGGAGCCTTTGTCCATCCCTGTCCTAGGTGACCGTGGCTCTCTAAATCTCTTGCATCCCTTCTCCACCCTTCCCAAGTGACTTGAGTCACCTGAGGTCTCTTTCCAGGGCAGACAGGTCAGAATAGTGAATAGAAGAAGCCGCTAAGCCTTGCTGTTCTCATCTATAAAATGGGGTCCATAAGGTAGTTACCTCCTACAGGTGTAGCTTGATTAAATGGGCTAACGTTTACCAATGGTTTAGCCCAAAGTGCCACAGTCAGTGCAGCAGCTATTATGAAGACTGTTTTCTGCATCTATACTATGGAGCCTCAGGGCAGGACCCAGAATGTATTTCACAGTGGTTCATGGCACAAGTGTTCATCAAGTGGCTGAAGTTAGAGTTGCAGAATCATAGAATGTAGCTATCAGAAGGGGCCCAGATCATGAAAATTCCCTGTCTGCCCAGTGGGAAATGGTATGCACACAGATACACACACACACTCACTCACACACATACCTGGGGAAATGTTCAATCCCTTCTAGAGTCAGCCTAGGCTGGAATCAGAAGTTTAGGCGGGGGAAGGGTCCCCCAAGTGCAGATCAACGTCGACCTTTCTTCTTCTGGCTCCAAAGCTGGCAGGTGATCAGAGGCGAGGTCCCTGTCCATGGAGCTGACTGGTGGCCCCAGCCTGTCCCCACCTAACCTTAGGGGTAGAGCCAGGCAACCGCAGGGGAAGGTGGAGGTGGCTGGCCGGGCCTGGAGTGTCCCAAGGCGAAGGTGCCAGATGGGGGAGGAGCCATAGGCTGGGGGAGGCGGGAATCTGGGCTGGTGCTCAGGTTTCCCGAGGGCCAGGGGCGGTCTCCACCGCTCTGCTCAGTAGTCAGGCACCACTGAGGCGGCCCTGCCCCGGCCTGCGCGCCCCCCCCCCCCCCAGTGTTCTGTGCCTGAGCTCAGTCAGTCGGAGACAATATTATAGGAGCTGCCATAAACTGGGGGCATCTCGCTCAGGTAGGGGTTCACTATTTGAAGGGCTGCAGATTTTGCCTTCCTGATTGGTCCTTCCCAAGTTCTGGTACCCTTTGGATTTGTGTAGTTACAGACGACAGGAAAAGACTTGTGGCCTATTCTGTAGCTGTAATAAAGGACTGGGCAGGGATTCGACACCAGCACGCTCCCACTGGAACCACAAATGTTAACTATTCCCAAACTTGGCTTGCATCCCGTCAGCCTGTGGTGAGTCTAAAATACAGTCAGCACAAAGAAAACAAACAGGAAAACAGTCTTCAGGCTCAGGCGGCCCTGGGAACCCTAGGGCACCAGGCTCCTCAGATGGCGAGGCCCTATTTGCAGGTAACCTAAAGACTTCTATCCTCCTATATACTTTATTGTATTTGTTTATTTCCTTGTGGTGCCGGGGATGGAACCCAGGGCCTTGCACATGCTAGGCAAGTGCTCCACCACAGAGCTGCACTCCAGCTGCAGGATATTTCTGATCGTTGTTTGTGGAATCCAAGGATACAGAGCTCCCCCTGCTTGAGCAGACCTGTTCCCAAGACTCATCTGCTGCCTGCTGGGGACCCTCTCCCATCCATCCGCATCACTGTTTTTCACATTCACCTCTTTCCCAACTGAATTCCTCAAATCGCTCCCAAAAACCAAGTAACATCTGTGTGCAGGGTGCATGCCTCTAATCTTGGCTACTTGGGAGGCTGAGGCAGGAGAGTTGCAAATTTGAGTACAACCTGAGCAACGTAGCAATTTAGCAAGACTCTCTTCAAAGAAATGAGGGGAAGAGGGTAGTAGACCCCCTACGTTCAATCTCCAGTATCACCATCACAACAAGAAGTCAACATTAAAAAACCAATCCCAGACAGGTGTGGTGGCACACTCCTGTTACCCCAGTACTTGCGAGGCTGAGACAGGAGAATTATTTGCTAGTTCAAGACCAGCCTGGGTTATAAAGTGAGCCCAAGACCAGCCTGAACTGCACAGCAAGACCCAGTCTCAAAAAAAAAAAAAAAAAAAAAAAGTCAATCCCAGCTGGACATGGTGTTACATGCCTCCAATCATAGTATTGGGAAGACCGAGGCAGGAGGATCACTGTGAATTCAGTGGCCTGGGCTACATAGTGAGGCCTACACTACCTAGGAAGACTCTGTCTCAACTCCCTCCTCAAAACAACAACAACAACAAATCCCAAACGATCCAATTATAATGTGAAAGACAAGAAAAGAAACCTCACTGAAGGTCCTTGAAGAGATATCACCACACATCTATCAGAAGATTTGGAAAATAAAATAAAATAAAAGCAACACTAATTACTAATAAGGATTTGGAGAAACTAGATGATGGCATTGTAAAAATGGCCCAGCTGCCTTAGAAAATACTTTGGCAGTTTCTTAGTTCTTTCCTTCTTTTTTTGGTACCAGGGATCAAATTCACAACTTCACACATGCCAGGCAGGCACTTGTACCACTGAGCTAAATCCCCAGCCCCTCTGTCTGTCTGTCTTTCTTTTTATTAATCTGTTTTAATTTCATTCTTTTTTGAGAAAAGAATGGAGTTAGGGACATGTTCTCTAAAGTCAAATGAATTTTAGGAACAATAGAGGTTAAGAGCAGAATATATATATATTTTTTTGTCTTTTTTGAGACAGGGTCTCGCTACGCAGTTCAGGCTGACCTTGAGCTCACTTTATAGCCCAGGCAAGAGCAGAATATATTTATTGAGAGAAAGAAAGCATCTGAGAGAGAGACAGAAGGGGTTTTGAGTGGGTTGACAAACACTCTGTCTTTTCTAGGGACTTTTATAGAACAAAACCACAAAGTGAGGCAGGTCCAAAATGGGAACTCATACAAAGTGAGCATGAGGTGGGACAGAACTATGGTTAACCAAAAAGATTGCTTAGGTAAAATTGATTAAATCAGGCACAAATAGGGAATCGAGTCATGCAGCAAGTGGGCATGCATACGGAACAGCGTCTTTTCCTGTGGGGTATTGGATTAGTGGCTCCTTCTGGCTTCCTCAAGGTGATCCATACCTATTTAGAGTATCAATCCCCAATATTTATACTTAGGGTGTGGTTGCATTTGTTTTGTCTTTTTTCTTGAGATCTGGCCCGCACTGGGAAGTGTTTGTCTCCTCCAAGGTTGCAAGATATCTGATCTGCTCTGGCTCCTTTGAGGGCCTAGCCTTGCCTGACTGCCTACAATATTTCTAATTAACTCTGCTGCCTGTCACACAAAGTAGGAAATGCAGGGCACAAACCACACCGAAGTCACAGCAGTCTCAAGGATATCATGGTAAGGGACAAAACCTAATTTTTCGAGGCATGGCAGCACAGGCCTATAATCCCAGCATTCTGGGAGGCGGAGGCAGGATTGCAAGGTTGAATCTAATTTGGGCAATTTAGTGCTTTAGCAAGACCCCATCTCAAAATACAATATTTAAGGATTGCTGGGGATATAGCTTAGAGGGAAGGGGTCTGGAGCTCAACCCCCAGTCCAGTCAATCAATCAATAACTGCAAAAAAAAAAAACAGTCTTCGAAGGTCACATACTGTATGACTCTATTCATACAACATCCTTGAAAAAAAATTTTTTTTGCACTACTGGGGATTGAAATTGGGGTTCTCTATCACTGAGCTACATTCTAGTCCATTTTATTTTATTTTATTTATTTTGAGACAGGATCTTACTATGCAGTTCAGGCTGGCCTTGAGTTCACTGGGTAGTCCAGGTTGGTCTCAATTGTAGCAATCTTTCTGCCTCAGCCCCCCAAGTGCTGGAGTTGCAGGATGGGCCACCATGCCTGACCCATTTCATTTTTTATTTTGAGATAGAAACTCATTAGATTGCCCAGGATGGCCTCAGACTTGCCTGTAGGGATTATAGGTCTGCACCACTGTGCCTGACTGAAATGACAGAATTATAGGAATGGAAAACAGGGTTACGTCTAGAGTTTAGGGACTGTGGGGTTCAGAGACTGAGAAAGGCCAGAGGGAGTAGCAAAAGGGAGATCTTTGAGGTGCTTGGTTGTCTGGGATACAGCCCTAGAAAGAAAATTCCCAGATTTTTCCTCCTGTGGAATTTGATTGTGCTTCTTTGAGGTCTATGATGCCAACCACTCACAGAGCTGGGTTATAGGGGTGCACCCCAACCCCGCTTGCTGTGTTTCTAGATCTGGTGCCACAGACCAATCTGGGGCTCCTCACACAGTCTTCACCTGCCTGAGATGTTCACAACGATTTTCTCATCTCGGTGATCAGCGGTTCCAGGGTCACTGATGAGGCCAAGCTTCATCATCCACTTAGGGTCCAGCTGATGCCTTCAGCGTGGTCTAACAAGGGCGTGGTGTTTGCTTCTTTTTGGAATTGTTGATGCTTTCAAGCACCAGCCAGGAGCCTGGCAAGCATGATGGCAGAAAGAGCAGGTTCTGTATCCTGATTGCATGTGACCCAATAACAGAAATTAAATGCATACTTGCACGTACGCCTGTGGTGTTTTTGCTTTTCCTGTCCTGAGGATTGAACCTAGGGGTCTTATCCCTAGGTACCACTAACTTACACTCTCAGCCCTTTTTATATTTTCTTTTGATACAGAGTCTTGATAAGTCTCCCAGACTGTGCTCAAACTTACAATTCACCACTCAGGAGGCTGAGGCAGGAGGACTGCTGTGAGTTCAAGGCCAGCCTGGGCTACAGAGTGACGTCAAGTCCAACTTGAACTGTATAGCAAGGCCTTGTCTCAAAAACAAACAAATGAAGATGTGGGGAACCAGCCAGATGATTCTCCTTGAAAAGAAGAGCAACTATCTTCATTTTGTATAAACCTGGCCCTATTTCCAACTATCGATATGTATAGAGCCAGCCCGGCTATTTCTTTGTCCCTTCAATTGGCTTTAAGCAGTGTAAACTGGGCTGGCTGAGGAGCTGATGTGTAACCTCTGAAGCAAAGCGACAGGTCAGTGTTACCTGCCCACTGACTCCCCAAATACGTGATTGAGCTGGGCAGGATGGAGATCCAGGCAGGATGGAGAGCCATGCTCCACGATGTCAGCTGGGACCAAACCTCAAGAAAAAGACTATGGGGGCTGAGGATTTAGCTCAGCGGCATAAGCACCTGCCTTACAAGCAGGCGGTCGTGAGTTCGATCCCTGGTACCGACAAAAATGAAAAAAGACCAAAAAAAAAAAAAAAAAAAAAAAAAAAGAAGAAGAAGAAAAAAAGAAAAAGAAAAAGACTATGACTTCCCAGGCAAAAAAGATTGTACATCAGAACTGAAGCACAGACCCTAAATTATTTATTAGCTGTTACCTCAGTTGTTAAGCAGAGTGCTCTCTCTGCATTTCTTGCCCTCTGCAAATCGCAGAGGTGACCTCAGGCCTCCTACCTAGCCTTCTCAAAGTTCTCATGTATTTCCTGCCACTCTGTCACTCATCCCCAAGCCACTCCCCTCATGGAGAATTAACAAAACCTGGGTTGGGCCCTGAGTTGTAGATTTTGTCCCAGTGAACCACCATCTTGGCTGGACTTAGGACCCCTGGGCACCCCATAACTCTATATATTCTTAATGTCTTTATTCTCACCTTGAATTGCACTGGAGGTGGTAGATTGGAATTAATGTACTAGAATTCAGTAACTTCTCCTTGGGATTGCAAGCATAAACCTTCCTAGACCGCAATGAGGAATGGGAAAGGGATCTCTGTACAAAGACACTTGGAATCCGCCTGCCTCAGCCTCCTGAGGAGCTAAAATTACAGACCTGTGCCATCACATCTAGGCGTTTTTTTTTTTTTTCCCAATGATGGAGACCAGGTCCTCACACACACTAAGCACATTCCTTGAGCTACATCTCCAGCCTTTGGTTTTGATATTGAGCTATAATTATGTAAGACATAACCACAGAGGGAAACTGGGTGAAGGGTAGCCAGGACCTCCCACGCATTTTTTGCAATTTCTGATAGATCTATAAACTTTTTAGAAACACAGATATCTCAAGTGACTTACAATAACAAACCAGACTAATATTTACAAATCAAAGCACAGGCTAGGGGTAAGCCTCAGTGGTAGAGCGCTTGCTTGGCATGTACAAGAACCTGGGTTCCAGGCTGGACGGGGTGGTACAAGCCTGTAATCTCAGAACTCCAGAGACTGAGGCAGGAGGACTGCTGTGAGTTTGAGGCCAGGCTAGATTACACTACATAGTGAGTTCAGGGGCAGTCTGAAACACACAGTGAGACCTTTTCCCAAAAAGCAAAAAATAAACAACAAATACCTGATTTCCAGCCCCAGCCTTCTCCTCCCACAGACAAAATGTGGTAGTATACACCTTAATCTCAATTCTTGGGAGGATCAGGCAGGAGGATCGCCATGAGTTTGAGGCTGGCCTGCACTGCATGAGACCCAGCTTTAAAAAATAAAAAACAGGGCCAAGGATTTAGTTTAGCAGGTGTAAGCATGTACCTGGCAAGCATGAGGCATGAGTTTGATCCCTGGTACCAAAAATAAATAAAAAAACAAGAAAAACAAAAGCTCACATAATGTAAAATTTATCTTTTTTTTTTTTAATACAGGGTATTACTAAGTCATTAAGTTGCCCAGGCTGGACTAGAACTTGTGATCCTCCTGGCTCAGCTTCTCAGAGTGCTAGGATTACACGCAAGCCACCATACCCAGCTTGGATTCTCATTTAATTCAGTGTGTAGTTCTTTTGGTTTTTAGTTGTTTCAGAGACACTAGAGATTAACACAAGGGCTTGCTGCGTGCTGGGCAAGTACTCTACCACTAAACGACACTCCAACTCCATTGCTATCCTCTATTTCAACGCAATTGTTCCCTTTTGGTCAGGGAGTTCTCCTCCACTCACCTCCTGCACCCTTGTGTTTCTTGGGGCGCATCTACATCAGCATTTGAACATCTGATGGCACGGCAAGATATTCCAGGTTTATTTTGTATTTTCTTGGCTGTAACTGAGAACAGTTATTTCTTCAAGGAGCCTGGGCCCTACTTTTAGAGAGAAATAGCGTTTAGAATCCAATATTCAGGTTCTAAAAAGTTTTATGGAGAATGCATTGGCCAGCCCACTGTGCTGTTGGTCATTCTGATCACCAGGGGGCAGCACTCTTCAGAAGATTGAAAGACCTAGAACCCAGGCTGGACCATGGAGCAGCTGGAATGAACGTACTCTTTTCATAGGGGTCTCTAGTTTTCTTTCCCGAAAGGGAAATCCAGGTGTCACTCACCTTATGTGCATTTAGACCTTCCCTAGTCCTCACCTCACTGACCTTTCTCCGTGTGTGTGTGTGTGTGTGTGTGTGTGTGTGTGTGTGTGTGTGTGTGTCTGTGATACTGAGGATTAGACCCAGGGCCTTCACACTGAGCTACACCCTAACCCTCTTTCAATTCTTATTTTGGGACAGGGCCTCACTAAATCACCAAGTTCCTAAAGGCTGTGATCCTTGCCAGGTGTGGTGGGGCATGCCTGTAATTGCAGCACTCTGGAGGCTGAGGCAGGAAGAGCAACACAACCTCATTGACAGCCCGGGCTACAGACAGAGTGAGTTTGCTGTGAGAATTCCCAAGCCAAACCAAACTAAACTGAAAGGAAGACTCTGCACTGAGGAGATAAGGAGGCAGCGTTTAATCTTTGCGCTGGTGGACTGTTGGACCTTCATGCCACCGACTGTTGAGGGATAATTTCTCAAAGGCAGCAACACTGAATTTACAGAGAGCTTAGTTTATATAGAATTGAGAAGTGCGAGGTACAAACGTTGCATCATTGGTTATAGGAATTGAGTCATATATTGACAGGCAGGCTAGTCTTGACCAGATTTTTATACTATGATAAAGGAATTTTCATCATAATATAGAAATAGTCTGAGAACAAGAGGAGGGGCCCCTTACAGAGTGAGCATAAAGGTATGACCATGACAGGAACATTCTGCGGGGGGGGGGGGGCTTGAATTAGCTCAGAGTGCCTTAAGGTGTAGACAATTACTCTGATTCAGTGCTCAGAGGATGCAGCTGGGCGTCACACACTATCAAGGTCAACTGGATTCAGCAGAAACAGCAGAACAGAAACTTGGTCAGAGGCCTCCAAGTTTGCTTTTATAATATATTTTTTTTTTTTTTGTATCAGAGATCGAACTCACAATCTTGCCCTTCCCTGGCAGGTGCTTATGCCACTGAGCTAAATCCCTGGCCTTTATAAATGTATTTTGACCTTATAATTTTCCCCCAACAAGTTCAAGGCCAGCATAGCCTCGAACTACATAGCTAAGGGCCTATATTGAAAAAGCAAAAATTATGTGACCCTCCAAATGGTAACACAGAGGGGAAAACTCCCATCCTGCTAGATGTCTGGTAGGATTCCGTGTTCTTTGAAATTGAAGAATGAATTTTAGGAGGTTAAGAGCAGAATATTATATACTGAAAGAAAGCTTCTGTCCAAGAAAGAGACAGAAGGGGTCCTGAGTGGGTTGCCAAAGACTATCTTTTTCAGGAACTTTTATAGAGTAAAATCACAAAGTGAGGCAGGCCCCAAATGGGAACTCACACAAAGTGAGCATGAGGTGGGACAGAACTATGGTTAATCAATAAGATTAATTGCTCAGGTAAAATTGATTAAATCAGAGGCAAATAGGGAATCGAGTCATGTAGCAAGTGGGCATGCATACGGGACAATCTTTTCCTGTGAGGTGTTGGCTTAGTGGCTCCTTCTGGCTTCCTCAAGGTGATCCATACCTATTTAGAATATCTGTTCCTAGTGTTTATCCTCAGGAAGTATGTGGGTGCATTTGTTTTATCTTTCGTCCTGAAGTCTGGTCCACAGTGGGAGGCATCTGTGTCCCCGACAGTTGCAAGGTATCTAGTCTTCTGCACTGGCGCCTTTGAGGGCCCAGCCCTGTCTGATTGCCTCTGATATTTCTATCTAACTTAGCTGCCTCTAACAATGGGATTCCAGCGTGCACCACAGACCAGAGCACTTTTGTCTTTTCTCTGCAGCTCCATAGAAGGGAGGGCTGAGGATGGATAGAAGGCTTCAGAGAGGCCCTAATCACCCAGCCCAGTCCTCTCCACTTCAGTACAGCCTTCTCAGCTGTGGGTAACGAGCCTGAAACAAGCCTTCCCTGTGGGCAGCCCCAACTAGGACAGATCTCCAGCTCCCAGTCCCTCTGGGCCTCAGGCTCAGCTGCCTCTTTCCTTGGACTTAGGAACTGGAAACCCAGAGAGGGGAACGTTTTCCCCAGGGCTGGAAACCCAGGTGAGCTTGGAGCCTGGGTTCTGGGCTCTGACCTGGTTCCATCTGTTGTCTGCTCGTCCCTCCCCAACAGTGGTCAAACCAGATGGAATTCTGGGTAGTTGCTTCCCTCCACCTATTTATTTTCCCACAAGAACTCTAGAATATTAACCAACCCGAAATATACACCAAAAGCCAAGGGAATTCTAGGCAATTTAAATGTATGGTTCAAGTGTGCAAATGAACGTGCACTTTTTGCCCCAGGAATTAAATGCTGGTGTGTATGGTGTGTGTATGTGATACTGGTGGTTAACCCCAAGGACTTTGCACTGAACTCCATCCCTCGTTCATCTTTATTTTTTATTTTGAGACAGAGTCTTATTAAGTTGCTCATTTGCCCAACCTGCTTGAATTTGCAATCCTCATGCCTTAGCCTCTGGGCTACAGCTGAGTAAAAATATTTTTATTTTTAACTTTTATTGGCCTCAAACTAAAAATTACAAATCAGGGTACAGGCAGTAAAGCTATGGGCCCGTAGGGTGGAGCAGGGGAAGGGGTGAGAAATTCGTGCTGGTGTGAGGCTGTCAGAGCACTTTGCTGTGAACAGGAATCACTCGGGAGTCTCTGAGCTACAAAGCCCACTGTGATTATCAGTCTGGGTGGGAACTGAGTGTCCCTGTGTCTAACAAGCTGCACCGGGAACCACTTTACGCAGCCGGGGCCTGGTCAGCAGGGGAAGGGAGGCAGCTGGGAACCTATAAGAGGGCTGGGAGGTGTTCACCCTCTGCTCTGCAGGAGTCGGCCTGGCCTCGAAGCTCCAGGGCCACCATGGCGCTGAGCTCTGGGCTCTTAGTGCGCTTGCTGCTCTTGGGGAGCATGGAGCTATGCAGTCCCCACCCCACTGTGTCCTCCCTGCCGCCCATACAGGTTCAATGTCTGGAAGCCCAGCTGGTGGTCACCGTCAGCAGAGACCTCTTCGGCACAGGGAAGCTTGTCCAGCCTGGCGACCTCACCCTGGGCCCCGAGCGCTGCAGGCCCCTGGTCTCCGCAGGCTCAGATGACACCGTGGTCAAGTTCGAGGTTGGAGTGCATGAGTGTGGCAGCAGCGTGCAGGTGAGGCCAGGCCCTAGCATAGGTGGGCATAGAAGTGGCTGGAGCTAGAGAGTAGCACTGCCCAGCCGGGGTGAGGGGAACAGCGATGCTGGGGGTTGGGGTACAGGGCAGAGGGAAACAAGGAAGCTCCTGTCTTCAGGTGCCAAAATCGGGTGGAGGAGTCCAGAGGTGTAGGACCTTCTGGGCCAGGCCAGGCAGCCCTACTCTGACTCGTGGCCAATGGACTAAATGCCAGTCACGGGGACAAAGGAGGGGCCCACTCTCGAGTAGCCCAGGTGCTGGCTAGAGGCCTCAGAAACTTGTTGCAAAGAGGAAAAAGAATTTTCGCTCGGACCAGGGATTTAGCTCAGCGATATAAGCACCTGCCTGGCAAGTGTGAAGTCGTGAGTTCGATCTCTGGTGCATAATAAAACAAACAAAAAAACAACTTTGCTTCAGGAAGCCCAGAAATAACTACTGCAGGGGGGAAATGCCAAGCAGAGTGTGGTGGCACACACCTGGGATTCTAGAGGCTGTGCAGAATTACAAGCTTGAGCTCAGCTTGGGCAATTTAGCCAGACTCTATCAAAGAGGTGTAGCTCAGTGAGAGCACCCCTCCCCTTCACTCAATCCCCAGAGTTTAAAAAACCCCAGAATCCTGACCTCCCTTCGGTGTAATAGCTTGAAGCTTTGCACTACACATGGTATAACCTCTGTATTAAAGACCTCAAGGCTTTGGCTGGGTGCTCTGGCACAGGTCTGAGCGGGCAGCAAGGGCAAGGAAGAGCCCTGCGTAACCCAGGTTGGAGCCCTCCCCAGGTCGGTGGAGAAGCCTGCGGGTGAGGTGGGGCACACAGCTGCAGCTCTCCCCAGCCTGGAGACCACGTTCTTGCTGTTCCACGGAGGGATTGGGATATAGGGGGCTTTTAAAAATCCCTGGAGTCCAGGCTGTACCCCATACCAAATCAGTGCTGCGTGAGAGGCAGCCAGTGGCATTAGCATCACATCCCAGATGACTGCAGCCTGGCCGCTCCTTTCTCAGGTGTGATGGTTCACACTCCTGTCCCCTGAGAATCACTTGGCACCTCTGGTATACAGACAGGTGGCCTGTCAGCCGCCCAGGCCCTGTGCAGGGTTTAATGCTTTTTCCTCCCTGCAATACTGAGGGTTATTTAGTGCTGAGTTACACCCCAGCCCTCCATTTTTGGCAACAGGGCCTTGATAAGTTGCCAAGGGTAGGTCTGAAGTTGCAGTCCTCCTGCCTCAGCATCCCGGCATGCTAAGGTGACAAGTGCACCCTCCCATGCTTGGCTTCCCTGAAATGATTAAAGGGCTCCACAAAGCCTGCTGTTGGTCATGTCTGGGGCAGACCTGCACCACATGGGTGCAAGTGGCCCCATTTTAGGCAGGCCCCTCCCCCATACAAACAGCTCCAGCAACACTTGCCTGTCCTCATCCCACCTCAGGCGGCCGCTGCTCCAGCTGTTTCCTGTAAGGTGGGCCTAGGATAGGCTGCTGCTGCTGACCAATGTGACAAACATTAACAACTGGGCAGGAAGTCCTTAGCAATTTGCCTGAGGATCAGGGCTTATAAGAAACTGCAGCTGCTGTGGTTGAACGTGCCTGTAATTGGGATTACATTCTGGGAGGCTGATGCAGGAAAGTTGAAAGTTCAAGCCCAGTTTGGTGACCTAGTGAGACCTCATCTGCCTCGGTACTGCAAAAAATGTACTTGAGTTGATGCCAGGCGAAGCTGAAGACATGTCCTGTAGTCGCTAGGCACCTCTGGTTTCTGTCCTGTCACTGGATGAACCCCTCTTTCCCTCATGGGTGGGTACCATCAGGTGAAGGCACTGGTGTGCAGAGGAGCACCTGGCCTGCTCCCTGTTACTGGTCAGTGGTGGGCAGGTCTAAGTACAGAGCCTGGCATGCCAATAGGGTTAACCCCGCCCCTTGCTGCAGGTGACAAATGATGCCCTGGTGTACAGCACCTTCCTGCTCCATACGCCCAGGCCTATGGGAAACCTGTCCATCGTGAGAACAAACCATGCAGAAGTTCCCATTGAGTGTCGCTACCCCAGGTCAGTGGAAGACGGGCCCTCTACCTCTACTGGGATCTTCCTGCCTCAGCCTCCTGAGTGTGGGAATTGTGGGTATGTACCATGGCTGAGATCTGATTAGAAACTAGGCTCAGATGTCAGGTGTCACCATCTCCAGCTGCAGCCCACCAGGCTGGTTAGGATAGGGGGCTGCTCCCAGATGGGGCTGCTCTGCAGGGTTTGAGGCCCAGGCTGCCTTGGCCTTGCTGTCTTGGGGGAGCCACTTTGGGGGCTCTTCAATGGCGGGGAAGCACCCTGGGTGGTGTGGGCAGCTGTGGCTCCTCCTCCAGGCATGGCAACGTGAGCAGCCAGGCAATCCTGCCCACCTGGGTGCCCTTCAGGACCACGGTGTCCTCGGAAGAGAAGCTGGTTTTCTCCCTGCGCCTGATGGAGGGTGAGCAGGAGCTGCAAGGGGAGGGAAGGGGAGGGAAGCTGGGGGGAGCCCTGGGGCATCTCTAGCCCAATCTGTGTCCCCCAGAGAACTGGAGCACCGAGAAGACATCCCCCACCTTCCGCCTGGGACAGGCAGCCTACCTGCAGGCAGAGGTCCACACAGGTAACCACCTGCCACTGCAGCTCTTTGTGGACTACTGTGTGGCCACACCGACACCAGACCAGAACTCATCCCCTCTTCACACCATTGTGGACTTCCACGGGTGAGCCTGAGCCGCTTTGCGGGAGCCTCCGCTGTAAGATAGTCTGGCAGCACCCCCTTCCCTGGCCTCTAACATCCTGTGCATTTTTGTCCCTCTAAGCTGCCTCGTGGACGGGGTGTCTGACAGCTCTTCTGCATTCCAAGCCCCCAGACCCAGGCCGGACATGCTCCGGTTCACGGTGGATGTGTTCCACTTTGCTAACAACTCCAGAAACACGGTAACGTTTTCTTTTTGTGGCACTGGGGATTGAACTCATGACCTCACACTTGCCAGGCAGGCACTTATGCTGCTGAGTTAAATCTCCAGCCCCCTGAAACACAGTAACATTTTCATTATGGCCTAGAATGAGACTGAACTCTATTTATGGTCTAGCCCCTCTCCCCTGGAGCAAACAACTCCTATGTCTGCTTCTGTGCTAATAAGACCATAAGCTTGCCAGTAACTGAAGCTATGGGCTCTGGTTACACCCCAGGGATAAGGTATGAGCAGCACACACTCTTCTGTAAAAGCTGGGTGCAGTGGTGTGTACCCATAATCCTTAGCTACTCAGGAGGAAGGAAGGAACTCGAGCAGGAAGATCTGAGTTCAAGACCAGTCTGTCAGTTTCCCTGCAAAATTGACAAGATGGTCCTAAGCTATCAATGGATGATTCTGTTCTCAGACAAGTAGTCTTTGTGGATCCTAGGGTAAAAGATCCTTCTGGAACAGGGAGTTGGGTTGACTGCAGAGGTGGTACAGTGGAGAATAAAAGAAAGGGATGAGGCCTCACACAGCACACGATCATCAGCAGTGGTACATCTGAGCTAGTGTCTAAAAAGTCAGGTGTGGGATGCATACCTGTAATCCCAGTGCTTGGGAGGCTGAGGCAGAATGCTCTCCATGAGTTCAAGGCCAGCCTTGAGCTACATAGACCCCCCCCCCCAAATCTAGGTGTGTGTCTCACTAAAGTACTGGGCCCCAGATTCAATCTCCAGCACTGCCAAAAAAATCCAGGGAAAAAGGATAATTGGTGGAAAGTAATCTGAACCCTGGACAAGTTTCCTATCAAAGATGGGAGAATAGTTTGGCCAACTTTGCCCTGGCACATGGGAGAAGGAACAACTGATTTGGGATCTACAGGGGAGCATCCCTGACCCCAGCACTTTTTTAAGATAGAGTCTCTACATGTAGTCAAAGCTGACCTCAAACTTGGAGCAATCCTCCTGCCTCAGCTTCCTGAGTGCCGAAATTACAGGCTTGCGCTGCCATGCACAGCACCCTAGCACATTATTGTGCTAAGGGCAAGAGCAGCTCTCTTAGAAAAAGGAGAGTAAGGGACCTGGGAGTGTTGGTCTTACAGGACAGATGTGGACAGGCAACTAGCAGACCTCCGGCTGGTAGGAAAACTCTGAACTCAACGTGGCTGCAAGGTTCCCAACAGGTTTCCCTGCAGGTGCATTTGGCGCTAGGTGGTGGTCCAGGCTTGTGGCCCCTTCTGCCTTCAGCCAGAGGTGGTGGCAAGTCCTGGCCCTTCCAGGATGGAGCAGGGGAGGTATCACAGCCCTTCCTGGGGTCAGGGGGAGCTCTGACCTGGGATGGACCAGGACTTGGGCAGGGCTGAGTCTGGGCAAATGTCCCTCGCCCCGGGGTGCTAAGGTGGGGTATTGTCCCTCTGGCTAGGTTGGCAGGTGGCTGGCAGCATGCTGGTGGGGAGCTGTAGGCTTCCAGCCAGGGCTTGTCACTAGATAAGGGGGCAAGTTGGGGTTTCCAGGCCAGGGATCAGAAGGGCACCAGGCTGGGCATGTCGGTAGAGACTGAGGCTGCAGGAGAGTGGCAGGCCAGGTGAGAGATGTCCTGAGGAGGAGAGGAGCTCAGCAAAGCTCGCAGGGGAAGTAGCCAGAAAGCTGACCTTGTTCTCTCGGAGCTTCAACCCAGGTCCTTCAGTTACACACCCAACCCTCTTTGAAAAATTTTGAGAAAGACACAGATGATGGACTCCAGTCTAGACCGGATTTGCTACTTACTCAGTTTTTGGGTGCAAGGTAACCTGGGCACTGTTCTAAAGATAGGGTGCTGTCCTTGCCTCCCATTAGGAAGGCTGATTTATGACAACTGGTTTGTTAATGTCACTGGTGATTCACGCCTATAATGCTCACACTCTGGGAGGCTGAGGCAGGATCATTATAAGGCCAAGTCCAGCCTGTGCAACTTGGTTGAGACTTATTTAAAAAAAGAGAAAGCTGGGGCTGGGGATTTAGCTCAGCAGTGTAAGCACCTGCCTTGCAAGCAGACGGTTGTGAGTTTGATCCCTGGTACCGATTAAAAAAAAGGAGCTGGGAATATAGCTCAATGCAAATGTGCCGAGTTCAGCCCCTAGTAATGCACATAAGTCATTGGTACACCCAGAACTCAGCTGAGCCCTTCCTTTCAGATCTACATCACCTGTCATCTGAAGGTCACTCCAGCTAGCCAGGTCCCAGACCAACTCAACAAAGCCTGCTCCTTCAACAAGTCCTCTAACAGGTGAGCAGACCACCCTGCCCCTGTCTGCCTGCCTGCCTGCTGTGGAAACTTAGTTCTCCTGTGTGTGCCTTGTAGACAATCGGTAAACCACTTCCGGCCAGGCAGGAAAACCTAAGCTGCTTGTCTTCCCCTCAGCTGGTCACCAGTAGAAGGCAGTGCTGACATCTGTAAGTGCTGTGACTCCGGGGACTGTGGTGGTCCAGGCCATTCCAGGAGGCTGTCTACTAAGATCCAGGATGTCGGGTCTACTTCACGGAAACGCAGGCATGGTATGTCACTGTCACTGGGATATTACTAGGGCACCTGCTGTCCCTTCATGGTGATACTCTTGTTCTGCCATAAGGTAGTTTACTCAAAAGGATGAACTTGTGAGCCTTGGAAAGAAATTTTGGTGCTTCCAGGAATGCTAGTACAAGGCTGTAATCCTAGTACTTTAAAAGGTTGGGAGAGGATCACAAGTTCAAGTCCAGCCTGGGTAAATTGGCAAGACCCTGTCTCAAGGACTGGGTAAAGCTCAGTGTGAAGGTCCTGGCTTCAATCCTTGTATAACTGAAAATGTAGCTGTTGGAGCTGGTGTTTTTTGTTTTTTGTTTTCTCCTTAACTTGGGATCTTGCACTTGCCAGGCAGGCACTGTTCCACTGAGCTCTACCCCCGTCCTAGAGCTGATGCTTATTCCATTTAGGCAAGGTGAAACCCAGAGTTTCCTCATTAGGGACTGAAGTGACCTTCAGGTGTCCTTTTCCTTTCAGTGACAGAAGCAGCTGATGTTACTGTGGGACCACTGATCTTCCTGGGAGAAGCTGGGGACCACAGCGTGGAGGGCTGGACCTCTCCCACACACACCTCCATGGCTCTGGGCTTGGGCCTGGCCGTGATGGCATTCCTAAGCCTGGCTGTGGTTCTGGGTCTCACCAGAAGGTGCCATGCTGCTTCCCATTCTGTGTCCCTTACCCAATAAAAGAAGAAAGCAAACCTTGGTCACGGTTCAGTGATTTACAGATAAGCTGCTAGGACTGGTAATGGCCGCTTGGGGTAATTTAGTGAGGTACTGTCTCTAAAAAGCACTGGGAATATAACTTGGTGTGGAGACTGGGCTCTGATCCCCCAGTGTTTGGGGGTGCGGGGAGAGGGTAGCACAATCTAGGTCCTGCCGGGACCACAAGGAGGTCAGTACAGTAGGCCTGGACAGTACTTCCCTGGCTTTGGCCAGCCAGGGCTGCCAGGGATATTTTTCCCTAATGGCAAGTGTAAGTTAGATTCCAAAGGGGGCCAATATGGAAGCTGTCGTGGACAAGAGCAGGATGGGCCCAGCTGGACTGGCTTCCAGGCTAGCACAGAATCTGGGGCCCACAAATCTAACTCAGAGTGGGGAGTTGAGGGGACTTCTTGTTGCCCTTCTCTGAGAGTGACAGAAAGCTACCCGTTCAGCTGTTAGAGGCCTAAAGGCTAGAGATGAGAGTCACCAGAGTAGCACCATGGTCTTGGCTCTGTTCCTTGCTTGGACCTCTGTGGTCACTGGATTTCGTTAAGCCTAGGTTTGGGGTCCTAGGGCTTGAATGGGCTTGAATGGAGGGTATCTTTGGGGGCAGTAAAACATTGTCACTGCAAGTTGGTGCTTTGTTTGTCTTCAAAAAAAAGTCTCTGTAGTTCAGGCTGGCCTCTTGAACTCTTCTAGCCTAAACTTGTCTCAAACCCATGGTAATCCTGCCTAAGCCTCCCAAATGCTGGGATTACAGGCATGGACCACTATCCCCAGCCATTAAAATTTTTGAGGCAAGTCCTGCTAAATTGCCCAGACTAGTGTGGTGGGGTGTATTTTTTTGTTTTTTGTCTTTTTTTTTTTTTTTTTTTTTTTTTTTTTTTTTTTGGGTCTTTAAGACAGGGTCTGCTATGCAGTTCAGGCTGGCCTTGGGCTCACTTTGTAGCCCAGACTAGTCTTGAACTTGCAAACGACTCTCCTGCCTCAGCCTCCCATATGCTGGGATTACAGGAGTTCACCACCATGCCTGGCCAGATTGATTTTGCAATCTTCCTGTCTCAACCTTCTACCATACTGGAATTACAGAGGCATCTGCTATGCCTGGCCAAGAAACAAGTCCCCATGTGACACAGTGTAGGTGTTAAGGAGCTCCCTGAGTGTGGGACTCAATGGCAGAGTATGTGAGACTTCAGGAAGGACCTGGGTGGTCTTCAGGTGGGCTCTGGTCTGCATGTAGGAGTGGGAAATGGGCTAGGGGCACAGGCTTTCTGGAGGTGGTGATCCTAGAGGAAATCCTGAAGGGCCACAGGGACTTAAGACTGGAGTGGAGCCTGAGCTGGATGCGGTGGCTCATGCCTGTAATCCTAACATTCAGAAGGATCATTAGGAGTTCAAGACCAGCCTGGGTTACAAAGTGAGTTCAAGGCCAGCCTGAACTGCATGAGACGCTATCTCAAAAAGATGAAAAAAGTGGCATGGAGGGAGGCTTAGGGGGTAGAGGGGGCCCCATCCCAGAGGAGGGAGCCACTGCAGGTCTGAGCAAGGCTGACTGGCATGAGCATTTGAGCAGCAGAGTGGGCAGCCTGGAGCCAGACTCCCAGGCCCTATTCAGGCTGCCTGCCACTTGTGGCTGGGCAGGTGACTTTGTGTGTGCAGCATGGATAAGAGGACTGTTGGGGGCCCGGATGGGTGGAGCCCCCCATAGGACTCTAGCAAAGCCTCTAAATTGGGGTCAGGTGGTAGGTGTCCCACACACCCCGTCCTGCCCCATGGCTCAGGATGTGTTAGGGTTAGGGTTAGGGTTTCAATGTCACTTGGAATCAGACCCGCCCTGTCAGGACTGCTCTGCAGGCGGATGTGGCTCCCAGGACACCAGGGAACTGTTCCTTCCTTGAACATACATCTGATTCTTGGGAAACTTTTTTTTTTTTTTTTGTCTTTTTCATTTTTATCGGTACCAGGGATCGAACTCACAACCTCCTGCTTGCAAGGAAGGTGCTTATGCCACTGAGCTAAATCCCCAGCCCCTATACATCTGATTCTTGTCCTCAAGTTCCTGCGTGACCTAATATCCTCAGTACTTGTCCTTCATTTGAATCCTGTCCCCTGCAGGATGACAAAGTGGACCCTGATGTCAGGTCCAGGTGGGCCTCAGCATGGTGTGCTCCCCTAGGTGGCATCCAGCAGTGAGGTCACAGGACGCGGGCGTCCTGCCCCCTAGCAGAACCACAGCGATAAAGGAAGATGGCAGGAGTTGAGAGTTTGTTTTGTAACTCCAGCTTCCTCGTTTCCTGGGATTTGGGGCGGTGTCCTACATTGGATCATAACCCAGCGGCTGACATACCATGACAATGCTTCCTATAACATTCTGCAGAAACTTGGTTCATCAATATTTCCTGTATGGCTTGCGAACTTTGCCTTTTTGCTTCTTAGCAGGCAAAGAGAAATGTGATGGACAATGAAGATATTGTACAAATATGTGATGAAAATGCCAAAGACTTGAACTCATTAATGTGCTAAAAAAAAAAAAAGTGGGTAGAATCCATTGGCAGCACCAAACTGGCTCAAAGTAAAATCCATGGGGCAGAAATCAGTTGTGGACCAGGGATATAGCTCAGTGATACAGTGCCTGCCTCACAAGCACGAAGTCATGAGTTCAATATACACTACAGAAAAAAATAATTGCTGCTTTATTGAAAAGGCCATAGAAAAAAAATGGCTTCCCTCATCCTTCTAGGTTCTTTCCAGAATCAAATTGATACAAAACAAGTTAACCGAGTTGGGAGTGGTGACACACACCTGTAATTCTAGCGCTTGGAGGCTGAGGCAGGAGGATCGTTGCAAGTTCAAGACCAGCCTGAGTTATAAAGTGAGCTCAAGGGCAGCCTGGACTGCACAGTGAGAACCTGTCTCCACCCCCCCCCAAAAAAAGGGTTAACCAGGGAAAAACCATTTTATTATGTGCAAAAGTCCCACATAGCATGAGGCACTCGGAAGGGTCAGATAACTGAAGTGTAGTTAGTAACTGGGGCTACAGAGAGGAGTAGGGGTTGGGGATTTAGCTCAGTGGCCTAAGTGCCTGCCCGGCAAGCATGAGGCTGTAAGTTTGATCCCCTGTACCAAAAAGGAACAGAGGCTAGATATGGTGGTGCATATTTATTTCAGCTCCTCAGAGAACTGAGGCAGGAGGACTCCATGCTTGATGTCAACCTGGCCAATTTAGTGAGACCCTGTCTCGAAATTTAAAAAAACTGGGCATGTTGGCACATCCTTGTAATCCCAGCCTTGAGAGGCTGAGACAGGATCACTGTGAATCAAGGTCAGCCTGAACTACGTAGTGAGGGAGACCCCGTCTCAAAAACAATCGAGTTGAGGGTTTAGCTCAGCAGCATACGCGTCTGCCTGGCAAGATCATGAGTTCCATCCCCGGTACTAAAAATTTTAAAAAGGCTGGTGTGTGTGTGTAGCTCAATGGTAGTCACCCTGGGGTCAGTCCCTAGTACCACAAAAAGGAGCAGGGCAGATAGTGTTTCTGGGGACGGTAGTGACACAAAGGACAGTAGGGCGACCAGATGTTCGGTGTGTAAAGGTTGTCCTGTCATGCTGTGAAGTCTCCTCAGGAATAAAAATGTTCAACAGTCCCCTTGATCTATACAATATAGATTTCCTTTATGGACGTACATTTCTTCTACAAAACCACACTGATTTAGAGGAGTGATGGTATGCGCCTATAAATCTAGCACTCAGGAGGCTGCGTGCCAGTCCTCTCCACTCGCCTGAAACTCCCAGTGCCCCAGGGCTGACCCCCTGACTTTTGTCCTAAGACCTACTACCCAGAGGCAGAGATAAAAAAGACTTCTGGAAAACTGTGAAGTCCGGAACCAGGACACATGCACGCTGGATTATTTAGCATGACATGTAGTAGTGGTGGCCAGCCTGTGGCACACATGCCGCAGTGGGCTGTTGATATTGTTGAAAGCTCTAAAAGGTTCGCTATCCCTGAGCTATTCTTCACTTGGAGCTTACGGAGCGTTCCTGCATCTCGGTACGTGCAGCTGATTTGACCAGAACCCTGTCAATCAGGCTCTGGATGACCTGGTAGGAGGGGCCTGGATCCGGGCAACATTTCAAATTCTTTTTTTTTTTTTTTCCTTTGCGGGAGTTCTAGGAATTGAACTCAGGATTTCACACTTGCCAGGTGGGTGCTGCACCACTGAGCTAAATCCCAGACCCAATATTCCAAATTGAATTCTTAAACCCAACCCATTTAGCACTTGCACCATTTACCTTTCAACGGGAACAAGTCCACTTACTCTGGACTCTGTTCCATTGCCTAATTACACTTCATTAAACTTTCCTGCTGCCTCCTGTCACGTGGGCCATGGCCAATTCTTTTTTTTTTTCTTCACATCCAATTCTTTGTTGGGTACAACAATCTAGAAACCCACCCAGGACCCCATCACCCACAGCAACATTTTGGCAAGCCAGCCAGGAAGTGAGCCCCTTCTGGGGGAGACATGACGAGGGTCTTTCCCATTTTCATGTCCTTGGTAGCTCACTGTGGGCACAGGTCAGATAGTTTAATAACATTTGGGGGTTTGCCACACGAAAAGAAAATTCCCATGAAAGGATAACCTGGTTGTGGAATTGAGAATTTTAGTTTTTGGTGGGAGCAAGAAAACTCTCACCCATCAGTCAAGTTTATGTTTGTGCAAACTCTCCTTTGCTGTGGAGCCCTGCAGCTTAGAGATTCCTTCTCAGTAGCTGGAGTCACCCAAGGCCCTAGAAAAATGTTTGTTCATAAGTGCACTGAAGATCCTACCACACTTGCTGCTCCTGACTGAGGCACTCTGGCCTCACTGGGTGATCTCTGAGGTCAGCATCAGCATCACAGCCGGTCCCAGAGTTAGAATGGACCTTGATGACCTTGCTTACACAAACTAAGGCTGTGGCCCCACCCAGTGTTGTGGGAGAGAATTTTCTTATGCCACCA